TTGGGAAACTTCGCTGGGAGGGAGCGAGACCGGATGCTGGACGGGATGAAGCCGTGGAAATAGCTGGGGGAAATTGCGCTGGGAGGGAGCGAGACCGGATGCTGGACGGGATGAAGCCGTGGAAATAGCTTGGGGAAACTTCGCTGGGAGGGAGCGAGACTGGATGCTGGACGGGATGAAGCCGTGGAAATAGCTTGGGGAAACTTCGCTGGGAGGGAGCGAGACCGGATGCTGGACGGGATGAAGCCGTGGAAATAGCTTGGGGAAACTTCGCTGGGAGGGAGCGAGACAGCACGCTGGACGGAGAGGAAACCGTGCAAATATAGCTTGCGGAGAGCTTCGCTGGGAGGGAGCGAGACAGCATGCTGGACGGGACACAAAACAGTGGCAATAGCTTGCATTAAGCTTCGCTGGGAAGGAGCGCGACAGCATGCTGGACGGTGAGGAAATAACGTGCAAATAGCGTGTGGAGAGCTTCGCTGGCAGGGAGCGAGACATGCTGGACGGACAGGAAACGTTGGAAATAGCTTGCGGAGAGCTTTGCTGGGAGGAAGCGAGCCAGCATGCGGGACGGAGAGGGAACAGTGCAAATAGCTTGCGGAAAGCTTCGCCGGGAGGGAGCGAGACAGCATGCTGGACGGAGGGGAAACCGTGGAAATAGTTTGGGGAGAGCTTTGCTGGGAGGAAAGCGTGGAAATAGCTTGGGGAGATCTTCGGTGGGAGGGACCGAGACAGCACGGCTTTTGCACACAGAATCTTGTACACACAGACGCGTTCACACACAGGAGGTTTTATACAAACAGAAGACTTTACGGCGCACAGAACTTTTATATACATAGAGCAGCTTTTACGCAGCGAAGCTTGTACACACAGGACAAAGGGGAGCTTTTTTACACAGAAGCTTTTACATAGGTTCACACACAGGAGGTTTTATACAAACAGAAGACTTTACGGCGCACAGAACTTTTATATACATAGAGCAGCTTTTACGCAGCGAAGCTTGTACACACAGGACAAAGGGGAGCTTTTTTACACAGAAGCTTTTACATAGGGTTTTTTAATACACAGAAGCTTTTACACACAGAAACCTTTACACACAGAAGCTTTACACACAGAAACTTTTACACACAGAAACTTGTACACACAGAAGCTTTTACACAAGCCTTTACACAATGGAGCTTTTACACACAGACAGGTTTACACAGAGGAGTCTTTACGCACGGAGGCGTTTACACAGGAAAGCTTTTTCACACAGAAGCGTTTACACAGAGTAGTTTTTACGCAGAGAAATCTTTACACAAAGAAATCTTGACACAGAGAAGCTTGCACACACACACAGAGGCTTTTACACAGAGAAGCCTTTTACACAGAGCAGCTTTTTCACCGAGGAGCTTTTACCCAGAGGAACTTTTACACAGAGAAGCTTGTACACTCAGAGGCTTTGACACAGAGAAGTCTTTTACACAGAGAAGCTTTTGCACACAGAAGTTTTACACAAACAAAATCTTAACACAGAGGAGCTTTTACATACAGAAGCATTTATGCAAAGAATCTTTTGTACAGAGAAGTCTTTACCCATTTTTCATCATGTCTCATTTTTCACTATCATTCACCACCTATCACCTTCATATCTTCGTTTTCATGCTCTTTTGGTCAGCTCCCTCCGTCGTTTAGTTTTCATTTTGCACGGTGTTCTGTCCGTCGACGCTTCGTCCTCGCTCCCTCTGCGGCGAAGCAAACTAAACGAGAACGCAGGAATTATAGCGGCTAAAATGATGGGATAGAGTTAATTACATTAGCAGAAATAGCGACTAGAAGAATGTAGACGTAGCTGACACAGCATGCTGTGGTGAATTGCGGCCCCTGATACCATCAGCGCGCACGATGTTTCAGTAAAGATCTTACGTCGATTTCGTGCAGAGCACACACCACAAGATTTTCAAAAAAATCGTGCTGTGTGCCGTCTTGCTTTTGGGTTCTCTGGCCCACCTTGTTTTACAAATAAGTTCCAATATAGTTGCCTTTTTACACAAATATCCTTATCCAGAAGTATCTATGTCCACTTAAATTTTAAATTAAAATCAGTTTTTCCAAAGGATCATATCTGCATAAAATTTTCAAATAAAGTAATTCATGTCTTTTTTCCGCTATCCCGCTTGGATCCACTGGCAAAAGGTCAAAGATGGAAGGACTGGGCTTGCTTCTCCTAAAAAGGTGTTCAACAGCTTTCCCCAGCGATGTGGAACCTAAATAATTTTCAACCATAGTGACAACGAAAGAAATGGGTTGCAATTAAAAGGCAAACCCAATGGACTCACTCAACGCCCGCTCCTGAAAACATTTGCGCATGTTTTGAACATTGCTCTGCTTGAAAATAAAAACATAAAATCTTGAGAAAACTGTTTCTGTGAACTTTTTTTCGAAGGCGCTTGGGGGCATGTCCTGAAATCATGCGCTGACTGTCTGGACTTCGCCAGAGGCGCAGAGGCGCAGAGATGCTGAATGCCATCATTCAGATCGCAAAAAATTCGTCGCCTTTTGGTATAGAAATCTGTTCCAACTTAGTCAGTTGGGTCGTTCGATATCAAATGGGTGCTGTGAACACCACTGGTCCACTGACTTCAGGACCGTGATAATCCCGCACAGCCTGGAGGAGATTGCGACTCAAACGCATCGCCGTTGACATGGTAACCGGATGGTGGATGGCGGGCGATTTGACTTTTTAATGGCAAACACATTTTGTTGAAGAAACACTGGTATCTTTTGAATGAACGCTCCCCGTGATGCACCTCCATCAACTGCCTGCCGGTGATCTTACACTCAGCCTTAGATCATTTGAAACACGCCTCACTCTTCACTTTGACTGCATCCAGCCATGACATAATTGACGTAGCCACTGACATATCGACTCAAAACTCAAAACATCAATTTGAAGATGCGCAACAAAGGCTGCTCGCTGCTGGAGCCTAAAATCGGCTTCAGCTCTGACATGTCACCTGGCCACGGCCGTTGTGCAACTTTTGCATTTCATTGTTGATTGAACATGATAAAACCCCAGTAGGAATTGAAAGGGATACCAAGAAGTGATCAAACAAAGGAAAACTGCTGTCATTCACAAGACGTGCCCAATTGAACGGTCTGAAGCTTTGCAATTCAGCATCGAATTGATAGCGACATCATGAAACACTAGCACATTAGAAAATATTTTCCCAATGCGACCTTGCACCGTGGATGGCTTGGTAATGCACCCAAAAGGTGCATTTGATAAACTTCACAAAAAGGCCCAGGCAAAGCAGTCAAATTCACAAGTCATGTCAAGAAAGCACTACCAAAATATCAACTCGGTATGCAAACTAAAATGGATGGAACTACCTGGAAAACTTGGAGACTTCCTATCTTGGTATGCTTCTTCCGCCAAAACAAATTTCAATTTGTGCCAAGGTGCTGATGTTGACACCATCCTTTTCCCACTTGTAGAAAATGCTGCTAAATTGCTCCTCGGACGCGATGCTGTTAACACCATGATGCCAAAATGGACAAGAGATGCAAAAACACTTAATATCGAACCCCTTATACATTTTTCATCATTTTTCCCAATATTCAGCGCATCGGACCCGATGGCCACATCAGGGAGAGGCCCACTTGGTGTTGAGGCTTGGGCAAACCAGGTCTCGAATTCGAGCGCATCGCTGATGTCCCCCTCCTTAGAGTGCTTAGTTTGTGGCGGTGGAAAATGGTAAAAACACAGTGGTTGTGGGGGGGCCTGCTGTTCTTCAGCATGTTTCCGATAGGTCGGGAACTTCAAAAGTAGGACATGATAGCTTGCTGAAAATAGAAGCAACAAGTCGCAATGAAACGTGGTGCAGGAAATCAAAAGCGTCTGTCTGTAATTTTTGATGACTCTTCTAGAAAGCAAACGACAAGGGTGCAAGAAGCGACAAGCCTTGACATGACGGCGTACTGAACGTACAGACACCAGAATGCAGTCTAGCACATGTCTTTCCAAAGAAACCCAAGCAGGGATCAACCTCCCAGCATTTTGTCGTCCCAAGGTCATCTTCTATTCATCTTCTGTTGCATACTGATTGTAATGTCTTCCGACCAACAGTTCGTCACTTGATTGGATTCCTGCATGAGGGCTCCAAATGTAAAATGCCTCAAGGATTGAACAACAATTTCTCAAGCAAAAACAAAAACCAACACAATCAAAGTCAAAGAAACGAATTCAAGCCATGCCATTCAAACGCCACCAAGGAACCATGGCTTTCTTGAAGTTCTTGACTGAGAGGTGCAAATACTCTCTGCCCGGACTGGAACGAAGGCAGACATTTCCACAGCGGCTTATGCTAGACTGAAAGTTACTCCGAAATCTGCGACACTCTCAAACCTGGGGCCTTAAGCTGAAGTTTGCTTCCCCTATTACCTTTGGCTTGAGAGGCGCACGTGCGCGCAACGAATCGGGTTCTCCCATGTTTTCCCTAGGGACTACAAGGGGTCCCAATCTCCTCCCCACAGCGCCCCCAGCGCCTGTAAAATCTAACTTCAGTGGGTTCTGATCCGCTCGCCCAGGGATGATCCCATACAGTCTCTCTGTATTTGATCACGTACAAGCATTTCCTCGAAAGGCTGCAGGGGTTGACACTCTGTTGAAGTAAGGTGCCCATGCCAAATACAAAACATGGAAATTAAAACCTGAAGTAGCAAAGGCAAACCCTGATTAACTTACATGGCAAATAGTAACGACGGGGCAAGATGGCTAGATTCAACTTACTTACCAAAATACATACCCGCTGAACCCCAACGGAAACTGAATGACTTCCGGCCTCTCTGTAACCTTCACTGCATCTACAAATCTACAAAGAGCAAGCAATAGGTGTGCTTCCATGACCTCATCGAAATTGAGGTTGGACTCTCTTTATCCAAGGTACAATGCGTACATTGGATTGCAGTTGAACCACGAGAAGATCCAATTGTCCTTGCATTCCTGGAATGTACCTGGCCACTCCGCTTGGTGAGACAAAAATTGGTAGCAATATCTGCAAGTATTTAGGAAACATGTATTCAATGAAATAGCTCTGAGTAGGTTACAAATGGAAAAATAGTTCAAACCCGATGGAAGAAGTCTAAATGACATTGGGTTGAAACCTCCATGTTTTGGCCCCCTCCGCGGGCACAAGGAGTGTCACTCTCGATGTTGTCCTTCTTCGGCTTGTTCGGATGCAACATGAGCATCACGACCACCTCTTGAAATTCTTGTAGCAAATGGTTCACATGTCTCCTGACCTTCAAGGATGACCATATCTGAACAATTGAATTATCTTGCAACATGAAAGCTCAGGAATAGGTAAGCTGTCCTCTTTACAGATCTCAGGTTTTAGGTGTCAAGCAGCTCTTCAAGCTGAACAAAAAATGGCACAACATGGGATGAGGCAAACATCTAAATCGACTTTGAACTATCGGCCCAGACACCCAGACCAAGCAAGCGAAGACCTGGCGAGGAGAACAAACGTGAGAACTGCGACTGCTCATTTGCGGCTGGGGAGAGCTGAGACCTTTGTAAACCGTGACAATTTTTGCAACAAATACCCTCTGTATCCTTCACGTTTTAAGCATGTAGATCAGAACCAACCGGATCATAAATGTATGCAGCAAATGTACCAAATCCTTCATGGTCTTTCCTGAAGACGACATGATGATAGCACCAATCTGGAGGTAGGCGCTTTACAGTCCGCCACCCTCCAAAATGGATTCAGACATCAGTCCCTGCGGAACGTCAGGAAAGCTGGTGGTTAGTCAGATTTATGTGGATTGCAATTGATCGGACCAACTCTGCCCATTTCGCAGCATGGTAAAATTAGGACTTGCCCTTGCATCTTCAATCTGCCAAATCTTACAACCGCATCCTCCCTCCGTCTGAGAGCTAGACATACAGGAAAAAGACAGCCTTAGCTGCAGATATAATCAGATGTCTATACGTGTATGCATCTCTCTTGCTATACCAAATTCGATTTCTATCTGGACTTGCACATGTACATATCAATATGTATTATATGTTATATGTACAAGTAATAGTGCTATGATGCTGTATATGATATGTACACAACATTTCAGATGTATCAAAAAATCGTTTCTATCTGTTTCAACAGGAGAATGTCACCAAGGGGCACCCCATCGAACCACGAGTGGAGAACCGTTCAAGACGTGACCTGCGCCCAACCGGACCTAGATGAACCAGCTATAGCCAGATGTCATCACGTGGGCACGTGGGTAATGCAAAAAACATGATTTCCAAAGAAAAAGTGGGATGTAAGCCTAAACAGGGGTAGAGTAAAACTAACAAACCTGTTACTCTTGAAGGCAAGGGATGGCCTGGAAGGTCACCAGTGTTTGCGCCGGTTTCAAACTTTGATGCAATTGTGAATGTTTTATGCAACCTTTTGCCATATTTGGCAGGTTTGGTGAACCCTCAAAATACCAAAGACTGCTCAACGTTCTGGCTGCGGGTCACTCAGGTTCCAGAAAAACATAATCCTTACCTCACCCGCCAAACCTCAAAAAACCCTCGAATTCTCACTGGATCTGAGGCCATGGGGGGGTGACAGTATTATGAATCGTTTTTTTGAAATGGATTCTTCACCAATTTCTTCACGAAAGATCCGCGAATGGCCTGATCGGATCAGCCACACGAAGGAGCAGCATCCCAGGACGGACAAGGGACCACCCCAGGCCAACAACCTACATTTGCCGATTCGCAGATGAAAACTGCAAAACAAGTTCCAATTCAGTTTGGATCTCAAAGCTGGAACATTAACATTTCAAGTCAAAGTTTATGGGATTAGAATCTCATAAGCCTTCTCTTTGCGATTTTCTCTGATTTCGTCACTGGCAGCATCCAAACGTCTCCTATCCTGTGCTGTCCATCTTTCAGTAAGGTCTTGACACCACACGGTCCAGTTTGCCCGTGGAGTAAAAATTCACCTGGCGAGGCGCCACTTTCGCCGTGCAACCAATTTTTTTCGGCTTCAGATGGCTTCAGGCAACCAGCCATTGAAACACGCTGAACCACAAAATGTCTTGGAGGTTCAACTTGCCCAAGACCTGGCTTCTGATTAAATACTTTTCAACCACAAAAAGCTGGGGACTGCAAAGCATCTTGGAAGCAAAGCTTTGTTTGAACAGAGCTTGTGCGAGGTTGACAACTTTCGACTGGGAGCCACTGACCAACCAACCACTGACCAACCACTCCAATCTGTGCCAAAGGTACTGATTGAACCCGAAGGTGCATGAACTTGGACCACAGATAGTTAAAGATGCAAGCCAGAGCCAAGAAAGCACCTGAAGCGGAGACCACAGGGCCCAAAATGGACAATCCTGGATCCTAAAATTGGCAAATTATTGGAAGCATATTTCTTCAACCACTATAACCACGAATTTCTTGGATTTTCTGCGACATGTTTTGACAAAGGCAAATTCGTCTTGCTCTTTCCCCGAAGGCGATGCGTCCTCAGATCCTGATCTGCTAAGATGCTGACACAGCTTAAAGCCTCAGCGCTGGTGCAAATGTCGATTCCAAGAGTCTCCAAGAGTGTCCGGTGGATCTGCAGTGCGACCTGTGATACTAAGCTTTGGGTGACAAATCATGCATTGGCATCTGATGGATATCATAAAACATTAGAAATCTGCATGCTTGGGTATGCGTTGTTTCAATCTGGTTTTAACGCTGTCAAGCCTCTAGGGCAAGGAAACATAGGAAGCATGCCACAGAACTCTCAGAAATCCTGATCTAAGGCTCCGGGCTGTTCTCCGAAATCATGAACATGCTAATGAACACCCTGGGAAGGGGATTGGACGGGCCAACCCTGATGAAAGCAACGCGTGGTTTCAAAATGGCTTGGAGCATCAACAGAGAAAACTACTGGAATGGAAGACTGCTCCAGTGACGCTCTGAGATTCGAACAGAAATGGATTCAGAATCAGCGCGCTGTAATCCCACGGAAGGCCAATCCTCGTGGGCGGCACAGCCCAGCCAGAGATTAACACACACCGCCAACAGCATGGAATCCAACAGCATGGTGAGGATGATACATGCGGGAATGTAGCTGGGAGCCTGGTGGTGTGACACACGTGACACACGTGACACACAGTCCAATGCCACCTTTGCCACCAGGTCTCTGTGGCGCTCTCATGGCTTTCTCAGCATTGCTAATTCCGTACCTCAAATCGCATTACGGGGCTTCATGTTCAACTCTAAAATCCTGGAGCTTTGCCTGAGGGTGTATCACACACTTGAAAGGGAAATAGAGTAAGAAAGATTAAGTCAGATTAAGAAAGGATACGGAAACGACAGAAACAGAGTGAAACGACGCATCCTCGACCTCTAAAAGCCGATCATCCAAAATCCGAATCTACGAAATTCCATCTGATGTTTCGCCATTCCCAGCGTCCCCCTCCAACATCGCCATATCAACGACAGTGCCTCCAGTGTCCCATCATGCTCCATCCCGCCAAGGTACTTGTCCAGTGATTCGGGTGCATTCGGCAGCAACAACTGGCGACAGAAACGCAATGATGACAATCTGCAGCTGAAGAGACCCCATTGTGATAAAAAGTAGTCTTGGCTGCGAAAAACTGCAAAACAGTCCCACAGGTCTTTTCGATACTTCTTCCTTGAAGCCAGAAGGTTGGTCCAATTACGCATCAGGAAGTTCATCATTCCATTCATCAATTTTTCCAGAATCTACCAAGACTCCAAGATCATTCAATTGCCGTGACGGTTCAAAGGTGGCCTTGATGAACTGGAGACCAGGATCAGGAAGGCACTTCCAAATGTAGATCATCTGCGAAAGGAGGTCAAATCAGAAAGAAACGGGGAAAAGAACGCTTGATCGGCTTGATCAACGATCAACCATGTCCGACATGTCCATTGTGGAAGGTTGAATCCAGTTCAATGTTCAAATTCTATTGATGTACAGCAAAATACGATCACAAATGAACTTAGGGAAGTAACTTTCAAATGACCTCTTTTGAATTCTGTAAAAGACCCAAGCTCCACAGAAATCCGACATTCCAACTGTTTTTGGAATCCAGGTTGAGACCATTTTTCACAGCTTCTTCAGGTGACCATTTCATACCATGTCCCATACACCTTGGCCCACAAGTTGTACAACAGGTAGTTGAGCATGGCCCCTGTGAGCAAGGAATTCCTTGGTGGAAGAAAACCTGATCACAACAGATTGAACAAGCCATGGCCTCAACAGGCAGCGCCAAGCACAGCTAGTCTTAAAGACCATAGCTGCCATAGCAGAAAGATCCAAAAGTTAGGAGGATATGAACATATTTATGAGACTATTTCTCCCCAAATTGGCGACAAATCGACAAATCCAGCCATTCACCACTTGACCAAGGCTCACTGGGCCAGTGAAAAGCTGACCAGGGACAAGTAGCAAATACCTCACCCCAGCCACATTGAACATCATTGAACCACTGGACTGACTGAACCTGGGAACTTTGGGAACTTTCGAGTCCATTTTTTTGAGCTATTCATTTTGACTTTGGCTCCTGCAAAAAACGCTTGTAGATACAGTCATGTCTGCACGTGTATCGGATTTTCCTGCCTATTCCCTTGGTGTCCATTGTTGCTGCGTAAACCTCCAGTTTTTCTGTCAGCAGTTTGGGCCCCCGAGCACTTTGTCTGCAACTTCGCTCTCCTTGGATCGGTAGCCAATTCAGTCCCACTCCCTCTGCTGTTAAACACTTTTTCAGATATCAAGAACTATCCATTTCTGTGGATTTTTGAAGATGTTGAAACTTCGATCCGAGAGCTGTTGGTATCTAAAAAGTAGGCATTTGTCGAAAACATCGGAGGCTCCTGTCCAAGTGGGGTGGCACTGTTGAAGACGTCCAAATATCCCGGACTATGAAAGAAGTTCTCCTGCAGCCGATGACATTTTGGGACAGGGTAAAGAGGAAAACCACAAAACCATCCCGACTTACCAGAACTGGGTGGAATTCTAACCTATTTTAACCATCCCCAATCATTTATCAATCTTATCTCCAACTGATCTCGTTTTGAATGGGAAACAATGCAATGGGTTCATGAGATTTCGCCTCTACTTGATGGCCATTTCATGGGCCCTGGGAAAGCCAATGACACCCCTTCGGGCCTTCTGCATCACCAGCCTGCGGGTTGGGCCCATATTTCACCAACATGTGAAACAAATCGACGGTGAAATGCCAGGATTCTTGTCATGGATGCCATGCAGTGACGCTGTGCCAAGTCACACGGAGTAGCACATCAACGCCAAGTTGAAAATAGTGTTGCCTCACTGAAGAGCGGGAAGCTTCGATGGAACCTTCTGGGCAGTATCTGAGTGATTGGTGATTTCGTGACTAAGTGAAAGGATACACCAAGAAGCAAGGTTGATTCATTTGTCAAGCTCAATGGTTCAATGGTTCACTGGTGTTTGAAGTTTAAACACATCTGGCAGCACAGGTCATTCTCAGCCAAGTTGCAGAAAGTGATGAAAAAATTGACTAAGAAGAGCCACACGTCTGCTCTGTCCTCATGTAGCTGCTATTTTCGGTGAGGAGACGACTGAGTCATTTTCGCACTGAAGCAGTTGGGAATATAAACAAAGAGGAAATCGAATCGAATCCATGAATTTATGGGTGTAAAAGATGGTCTAAGGGGTACAACCAGCAGAAATTGGGAGCAAACAATGATATCATATCCGGAACTGGGGTGGCCAGAACTCCGTCCTTCCGGTGGTATCCAGCACCGTAGGCACCACCATAGACCTTACCTGATGCACCGAAGAGATTCCCAGAGACAATTCTCTCAGCTTATTGGTTTAAAAACACATTGACTTGCTGCCACTCTAACTTGCACTGCCTGAAGGTGAACTGGATTTCCCTCATTGAAATTTGGACTGTCCATGCTAGAACTCAAAACCCCTAAGAGATCTTGCCTCATCATTTTGCAAATGCGAAGACACGAGTCCCTTGAGCAAACCTCTCCCTATACTTTTCGCCTTCCTGTACCAGCCTCTGGAACCGGAACCAACATTAAAAGCATTAACCTCATCAATGGTTTACCCAGCGTTAGAGGATTAAAAAGCAAAGAGACTAAACATTGGCAGGCAGCCACGATTGCACTGCAACTACTTGGATCTAAGCAACATATACCCATGAAACCACTTCTTCAATCTTATACCAACCAGCAATGTAGAATGGTCACAGCCATAGCTGCTATACAAACCATGGCATACCATGGAACACTATGGCATACCAAGGCAGGTGGATAGCCAGCTTTGGTGAAGCGGCCAGCCTCCCAACTGCCCGTTGATGATGGTCATGATGATGCCTTGTATGATCCTTGCGATGGTTGCCGGCATAGATTTGTATGTTTTGAGAGCCTTTCCCATCCTAGACTCCCCATGCTGAAACAACTTTGGAAATCCGTTTCCATGCGGATCACTAATCACAATCACTAGTGAAGTTGTGAACGATCTGCATCTGGAAATTTGCTGCGACACTTTGCTGAGTGTCGTGATGGGTCCACCAGCATTGCTCCCAGCTGACAAGTAAGGCATTACAACGGTCCTGAGTGGAAGGATCTGAAGGATCTTGGGATCTTGGTCATGCTGCAACTGTGGCAAAATGTTGGTTGTTTTCATCTCAGCATTTGATACAATAGAAACAGGATTTGATCCAAAATAATATGTAGAAAATCGACGGTATCTTGGGATTATGTTAGTGAAAAACATGTGGGATTTGTATGAAACATTGAAACTTGAGGCTTGAGGTTCTTCGCGGCATTGCTGGAATATCACAAGCTTAATTTTGGGAGCCTCATACTATATGCTGGAATGGAGGTAACATATAACTCACCCAACAGGTGCAGAATAGCTGCAAAGTTATGACATTTCCAATCTTTTGCGGAGTGAAGTCGCTGTTCCGTCTTCCAAATTGAGATCTTACAAATTTGGCACCCGGAGTTCCATTGCCACCTTCCCATCATGATTTCCAATTGCCGGAGGACGTGTTCCACACCAAGACCAACAAGTTGATTCCAACGAACCACATGGCCACCTCACAGCTGATGGCGTTCAATTTTTTAAATCATCTTTCCCTACTTGGAAAATCGTGGGAGCGTGTGACTGCACCAGAGTAGGTCAGCTGAGAATATCCCCAGAAAAAGCGCCTCTGCGAGACTTTTCCTGCGGGTTGAAATGGCTTTTCCGATGAAAATCTTGCAAGTCGAAAGAAAATGGGGATGGAAATGACGGAATTGGATCTCAAATTTCAGTGGGCTTCACAAATTCGATCCCAAATTTGAGGAATTTTGAAACCGATCACCCAATGGCAGACCAAGGAAGGAATCACTTGGATCAATCCGATCAATCCTGCTGCACAGTTCTGCACCCTGTGTCAATTCTTCCAGGATTTCTTCCCCGCGTCTGTCCTCTCGTTATGTCGAATCTCTTCCTCTGTGGTATGGAGGTTTTGCCAAAACACATCGGACGGTTCCGATCGCACCACATCCACCTGCCCAGGAATTGGGAACGTCAAGGGGAATGTCAAGGGTGTCTGTAAAGGGGATTAATCACTGAGAACTCCGTAAGACATCGTGCACCCTCCAGATGGACAAACATGGTCTGAACATGTTTGATGTTTACATCCGACTGTCCAAGGAACTGTGCCTCGATTTCCTTAGCCTTGTAGGAAAACAAGGAAGATGTGGAGCTCTCGTACTTCTCCATGACTTTGTCCTCTGATTTGTTGCCATCAAAGGATGTGAAATGGGTTGCCAAAACGAACATCGCACCATTGGACCATTGGACCATCACTAAGCTCTTTGGTGAGCCCCTGCGACGCTGTGGGAGTCCTTGTCAGTATTGAGCTGAAAGCACAGAAATATTTGGCCTCGACCATTTCAAATGTGGTGATAGATGGTGTGGGATTCAAGCTTGCTGTTATTTTTTTGCAGATTTGAAAAGCAAACCTTGCCAACTTGCAGCTGATACACTCATGTCCATATATCCATATCTATACATATGATCATATGTATATATTTATATACCCGTAGGGTAAACTAACATAGATGTGGAAAAACATAAAATCATGGGTTTCTGAGGAAAATGATCTGCAAATGGTGGGTTTTCAACCTCTACGTTAGTTTACAGGAGGGTTATATACAGATCTATCTGTATTCCGAAGTCGAGTAATCGCATCACACAGCAGAACTGTTGTCCTTCCCAATTTATATATGTTAAAATCGCCCGTTCACAACTCCTAATTCACACCTCCGATCCTGAAAAAACTTGAAGAAGTTCAAGGCAAAGTCGTAAGGAGACCCCAGCCTGGAATCACCCTTGAGGTCAACTTGAGGTCAACTTGAGGTCCCCTGCCTGAACATGTCACTTCCTTCTTGTCGAACCAACTTCTAACCTCATCTACGGGCATGTCAGGCATGTCCTCCAAGGTTCACAGCAGTTCACGGCAGCCATGATCTTTGGGGCTCCAACTTTGCTACGTGATCTTTCAGCGTGACAATGGCTAGAGGTTGGATGAAATCGAATAATCCACAAGGTAGGATCGGGCATCAGAACCCAGAACTGTGGGACTTTTTCAGCTGAGGAACCTTTTCGCCATCTTTTTCCATCTGTTTTCCCAGTCGAATTCTCTCCTGGCAGGTCTAAGTGTCCCAAATGTCCCAACACTTCCGTTCCAATCAAGATCAGAGCTTGGGGAAACAGAAATCAACTAGGAACCACTTAGCATCACTTAGCATCACTCAGCGGCCCAAAACATCTCTTGGGACCCGCAAATGGCAATGTGGCAATGTGACAATGTCTGCATGTCTCCTCCTCCGCATCGGGGTTGGACAAATTCGCATCTTTTCTCATCGTCAATTCCAAATGGCTACAGTACCTCAGCAAGGCTTCAGCAAGGCTTGGAGACGCCGCACCGAGATGCCACAAGACAAGGAATGCAAGCGATGTAAGCAATGTGTGAGGACTTCACTGTTTATTGAGTTATATTATGTTATATTGAAGATTAGAATGACTTTATTTCCTTGCTTTCATCTGGTTTCCAATCTATTGTATTCAACTACTGCACATGAAAACTTGGGAAGATTTTAATTTCTTGGTTCATCACTTTTTGGCGGGAACTGGGTGTGCTGGCGTGGCTGTCATCTCATCCACTTCGTCGGCCTTGCCGCCTTAAATCTGGTCACACTTGGCCGTGGGATTTTTCACCATTTTTTTCAACTTCAGATGGCACTTTCAAAAATCTATAAAACTTCTGGTTGGACTTTGTGCTTCCCACGTGCTTGAAGGGTTTCTGATATTTGCCTGTAGATTCTGGGCTGTCCAACCCCAATCCGAGAAATTCCCCCATTCTTCGTGTTGAACATGTCCAAAAAATCGGCAGATTTTCGATTTTCTTGGTCATCCAGAAAAATTCAACTGTAGGCAAGGCGCCATAGCTGTAGCCAATACCTGGGCAAAAACTGAAGGAACTGAAGCAAATCACCCAAAACTTCTGGATTGTTTTTCGCCCATCATCGACATCCGGTCGAAAAACATCTGAGAAAATGGAAACTCCTCAAAAAAGCCAAGCTGCTAACACCTTCCACCTGAACATCCAAGCCACTCCTTGGCGGGAACGACAGCCAACTCAGAAACTGCTTCAAAAGGGAGGGATAAATACCAGTAGCACCGCACAAGGCGGTGGCGGAAGTTTCAAAGATACACAGCTCCCCAAACTGAAACTTTGATGGAACTGGTTGGAGCTAAATGGTCCCTGTGGATGCTGTCGCTGCCAAATCTCTTTTTGAGCTGTTCTTGTGCCCATTTCTTCATTTCAACCTGACACTCGCTGCAAAACATGGAGTGGTAACTCTTGTGATATTGGCGGTTTCAAGCCATCGCAAATGCAGTCATTGGGGATCCAAAAAATTGCAAAAGAAATACTCGGAGGTTGAAGTCAGTTGAACATCACCAGACACTCCCAACATCTCCGAACATCTGCGAATTCCTGCGCCATGAAGGCACACCATGAAGGCGCACCAAGCCTCGTTGGTCGCATCAGCTGGAAAGCCTGTGGCGGACACGGATCTTGGATCTGGAAACGAAAATCCGCAAAATCCGAAACGGAGCATCCACAGCCCAATCCCAGACCTGTTAGGAGCAGGGCGAAATCACACATGGTGTTGTTCTTCCGATCGAACCTGGGCAAGAACTTGTAGGGGGGCACCCATTTGGGAAGTGTTGCAAAACCTTGAGGTTGTTGTTTTTTGTTCTTTTAATGATTACCTACTGCAATTGAGTAGAAGTTGGGGAATGGGGAATGGTCATTGATTTCGATTTCTGCATTTGTTCAGGTGAAAACCAAATCAACCATTTCCTTGATGGCAGGTCGAACAATTTTTCTACCCAAAATGGTCTCAACCTTGCATTGTGTCTGTGAATGCGAGCACATTGAGCTGGCAAATTTGATGCTGAGAAGAAAGTACAGGCAGTGCTTTCAGCCGTCCATGCAGGTATTGAAGTAATTGGTACCATTGAACCAAATCTTCATTTGCAGAATTTCTGGTTGAGTGAATACTCTGCAGATTCTTAGATATTCAAAGTGTTTCCCATTCTTTTGTTCAAAATTCCATGGCGCCGCTGACCACGGCTCCAAGGGGCTTCTGCGTCCAGCTCTTTTGTGCTCTCACGAACCAAGCGGAGGCGAGGAACACGGCACCATACCTCGGGGCCGAAGATCCACATGGGGATCGGGGATTTCAATGGGGATATCATGGGATATATCTATATATGTTTATTATATAATATATATATATATATCTATTTAAATTATTATAATTCTAGAATTTATTTATCATTAATATTGTACACACACACACCTTTCAATAGCATATTTTGAGATTGTGAACATTTGACCCATCGCCAAATTGGAACTCCGAAAAAGTGGATGGGAGAATCTCGTATTTTTCTCCGTCTCGCTATGTCTTGACTCTGCAGTATGATCGGCTTCTACAAAAACATATCTGTGCAAATCAAAAACTGGATGATTTGTCAACGTGACCACCCAGTTCCATCTCTGTAACTTTGATTGTTGGTTCGTTTTATTTTTTCTCAAAAACTGGTTGCCAAAAAAGCAACCACCATTTGATTGTTTATCACAGGGACTCAATGGTTGGGGTACAGTCCAAAAATATTTGACACCAAACGCAGCAATTGCCACTTCCAACATGAACTTATTCTTTCAAAAAGCACTCTTTGTGGTTGCATGTCGGTTTCCGTTGGTGTATCCTCCCATTGTTTCTTGAAAAAGCAGTTTCTTGAGCACTTTTCCAGCTCATAAATCCCCGAAGTTGACCCAGTTTCTGCGGCCCAGTGGCAACATCAGCAGCGTCCAGGCACCTCGCACTGCAGATGGTTTTGCATTTAACATCGTTTAACTATGCCAATTTCGAGGTACCGGATTTTGACGCATCCGGGGATGCCGGAGTTGTTGGTCGAAAGTATTGCTTTCACTTTTTTGGAACTCATGATCTTCCAATTCTTTGGGACAGTTTCAAAATTTGGAGGTGATCGCTGCACCCACTCTTGCAAGGAGCCGGAGGAACGAGACCTATCTGGCAACCGATTCCCTGGGAGAAACGATTCCTGTTCAAACCGTTTGGATGACCCCCATGGAACCGACATGGTTCCATCTCTAGCCAGCTTTCTAGACTGCTCTGTGGTTGCTAGTTGAATATCATGGTCGGAAAAAAGATACACAACAACCACCTTTAAAATAGCGGGGGTCATCTGGTTGATGGTTTCAACCAGTCCCTGAAGTACGAAAATCATTTTGTGCCATCATTCCATTTGTACAAACGAAACATCAAGAACCTCAAATATTTCTAAGCTTTGGTGGCTAAATTAAGTTAGTTAAAGCACAGGATATGATTGGCCAATATCGTCCAATATCTCGAATTGATGGTGGCGAAATATCCATTATTTACTATCGTTCGATAAAGAAACCATTGCTGATACAACCCCTGCTTATTGGAATTACATCCTTATCTTCGCTGGCTTTTGGTGTGCAATCCTAAATTTGTGCTGCTCAAATCATCATAAATCCCTTCTTTTTGCTGGTTCAGTCTTCAGTTCTGCTGGGTTAGTCTACTATTTTTCATAGCCATGTGGGTTCACCCTCACAGCGTCTGGGATGCAGCAAGGCGACGCGCGTAGGCGTATTGCTTCAGCGGCTCTTCTTTGTCCAATGGAGAGCTCTTGGGGCACTTCCTTGGGTCGGCCATTTTGGGGACTCTTTTGGTCGGCCCTTAATTTGGTGCAACCTCGGCATCCCAAGAATTTGTGTTCCATTGAAGTTGGTGCTACAAATGATAGGGCCATAGTTTCCTCTTGGCTACTGGACATTGTCGGGACATGGTCACAAAACGAGGATTCTTGGCGAGAATGCTTCACATTGGCTACAATAATCTCCTGCTGATAGCCCTGAAGCACTTCTTGACACCCAGAAGTCATCTGCTACGGAGTCATCAAATTTCTCCCTATGGAAATTCCTGAAATGATTGTAATTTAACTGCCATTACACCAAATAGGATCATACTTCAGGTTTCACACTAATTTTTGGTGATCTCATCATCTCTATCACCATTTTGACAGCTCCAGGCAATCTATAATCTTTTGATGCATCTCAGGACCTTAGACAACTCGAATTTTGCCATGGCAAATATTAGACATCCACCCAAAAAGCCAGTTTTCAGCTGGGTATTTCAATCTTCCCCTGTTTGGAGGTTTCCTAAAATGGGGGCATCCCCAAATCATCCATTTTAGTGGGATTTTGAAACAAACCATCCAGCTATTGGGGTACCATTCACCCCTTCACCGTTAAGCGTCTCCAGTGGTGAGAGCAGGACTGCAGGAAGGGTACTCTTTGGCACTTCGGTCATCATCAGCGCCTGGAAGTTGCTGGAGGTGACCACTTCCCGGCGGTCCCTGGTGGTCCCCGGTGGTCCCCGGTGGTCCCGGTCCCCGCTGGGTGTCCCAAACGTTGAGCAAATGGTCAGTGGTTCCCTGGGCACTTTGCACCAAATGGGAACTATCCTCAGCGCTCACGGGGAATTGAGAATCTTAGAATATCCATAGATATCCCTTTTCGACAGGGTTGCTTTTATTGGGATATGGTTGATTTTTACAGATATTTCACATCTTCCGAAATGAATATCACTAGGAAATACTAGGAATAAACCCAAGAAACCTACCATTCACCTGTCGACTGACGGGTTCACTCCATCGAGGCTTCAGGCTCAGCGACCAAAGGCGATCAAGCCACTGGTGTGTTCCATTCCAATATCGCGGCAATCACGGAAACGAGAAGCACAAAGAAGACACCTCATTTGAAAGATGAACAAATGGACATGTGAAGAAATTTAAGACTTGTCAATTCGATATGTTGGTCACATCCTTCTGTGTTAGTGTTTATCTGTGTGCCATTTCAAGGTGTTGGTAAAGAATTTCTCAATTCTGGCGATACTTACCGGAACATCTTTGGCTTTGAAACTGATTTACTTTGGGCTGTTACCATCCTCATAAATCCACCAAAATCCCAATTTGGCTCCAATCAGCTCCTGATGAGCTCTTGGCAAACTTGGATTCTCAGCTAGATATTTTCTATATTGCATCCTCAAAAATGGCGAAAACAAACTTCACCCCTCCCAAAAAGACTACCTCTCCAGGGGCACCAAGCATTTTAGCCTTGGTTTTTGATGATTTTCCTATGGTTCTATAGCCATTATTGAATTTGAATGGTGGTTCACTTGAGCTGGGCATCTTCGATAGAAGAGTGCAAAGCCCACGCCCAGGATGTTGTTTTTGGCCAGATCCACCTGCCAGGTTGGTAGATGGATCGATAGATGGACATAGAGGGACTAGGTGTTTTTTTGCAGCTAGATGGTAGATTTATGTGGATTTCCAGCAGCTTAGAGTGCAACTTTTTGGGCACCCATGGTTTCTGTGTTTTTTCGGGATCTGTTCAGAGTCTAGGGGTAGAATGTTTTGAGCGACAACCACATTGTACGGGAATTCTTGAGCCAGAAATGACAGGTTCCATTTAGACTAACAGCAATTCTTGCTAAATTTGGAGTGAAGAAACTTTATGACAAAGTGATGGACCCACTGCAAGACGTATCGAAGCTGGGACAAGTAGGGCAGGTTGGGTGTCACCCTCCCAATGGGTCAGACTTGATACTCCAAAAAAATGGCAGAACATCTGATTTGGGATGCCATCTTCTCTTTGCCAATTTTTGCTCTACCATCTTGAGGGGTTCCAGATAATACTCTTCACCCAGGTCATCCTTTCATGACACAAGACCCTCCCAGCAACAGCTCAACGTGGCGACCCGACCATCAAAGGGTACCAGACCCTGGGCTTTTTGTTGCTCTGAAGATCCCAATTCTGCACCTGCACGTCAAGATGAAGGGAAGCTATAGGGAAATGGCAAAAACTGGTAACCACATTGAATTCTCCACAATAGAAATAGTTAGAAAGCCGATTAGAGGAAGTTTAAGTTGAACTTATTCATCCTTTTCCAATTCTGCGTGGCCAAGCCTTGCTAAGATGTCGATGCTTGAGAGCCATGTACAGATTCGCACGGTTCTCTTTGTCGTTTGGACTCCTGGACGTTCAGGGAATCTGTGGTGATTTGGCGTGCCACCTCTAGGCGACTCATGCCATGTGCGCCTTGCCTTTTGATATAATCCTCGAACATGTTTACTTTTGGAAGGAGATGATTTTATATATACATAATATATATGTGTCCATATATACATAATATATATATGTATATTATACTATATATATACAACATACATATACTATATTTATCATATACATGCGTATATATATATATAAAACTAGATATGCTACAGATATGAATGATGAATCAAATGATCCTCATGGCAAGTCAACTCACCGCTTGTCGGCTTGGCGGCTTGGCAGCTTGACTGTGTCTCCTGGAACCTCTGCAGCAGTACACCACTGCTGTGACGAGCAGCAGGATGATGATGCCCAAAAGGGTCTGCGACAGGCGGAATCACCCCCGACTTACCAGAACTGGGCACAAAGCATCAAACATTGAGGGTCTATTCTCGGGTTTACCACACAATGATGGGCCCCTGCTACTAGTAAGTGGGTTATCTCATCCCGTTTTACTGATAGATAACCCGTAATCATTGGGTTCTACACCAAAATTTTGGAACAGGGCTCATGACAATGATGATAAATCCAATACTGGGCCAAGGTGTGATGCTTTATAATTTTTCATGTGGTAAACTCAATGCCACAAAGCTACGACAGGATGAGATTTGCCGATGGCAAGTGGGACTGAGGCCGGGACGTAAAAGACCTCGGGAGGCGGGGATACAATTGGGGAATCATGGCCAACATGACCATGAACATCCAAAAACAGTTTTTTTCAAACTGAATATAGGGGGATTCATAGTGGGATGTATAGTGGGATGTACTTGTATATTACACCACCAATATGATTTGTGCCCGAGGATAGCCCCAAACTGCCCAGCTAACTTCTGAGGCCCTAACTGCAGATGCCCAGCCAGAAGAAGTGATACTAAAAATGCACGTCTTTCCGTCCTGCCACCACAAATCCAATAAATCCAACTAGAAATTTTCGTGTGGTCAGTGTGTCACTGGTCACATTTTGGGATCCCTTTTTGGATCACCGATCCCCAACTGCTGAACTGCTCCTGACTCAGATAGAATCCATGGTGACATCTTTTGCAGCTGGTTTCACTATCGCACCAGGCACAGCCTGACGGTACTTGGGCTTCCGAGATCTTGAAACGGAGGCTGGGGTCACAAATCTACAGTGCAGCTGGGAACTGTACGGACTAAGTGACTATACTAATTGGTGGCACTTTGAGTGTATCCTACAGTAGAGGTATCACCCATGAGAGGGATTGAACAAAATTCTCTTTCCACATGTTTCAACTTTTCATCAGTTCGAGCTTCGAGGTTGTGCCAGGTTGCGCCTGTGACATAGCACTTGGAACACAATCCATACTCCGAATCCTCGGGCTGAGCTGCAGCCGTGCAGCCATGAGATGGTGGGTTTCCATCCAGAATCCGTCCCTGAAAATTCCATCTTTTGATCGTGTACTAAATATACAAAACATCTTTTTGACCAGTCACTGAAATGGACTTCAGGAATCACTAATAGTCAGTGATCATCCATTTGATCATCTTGTCACGCAAGTGAGAACCGAGTGAACCGGGTGCCCGAAACGATTTCCTTTGGGCATGATTCATGTCGCATGAACAAATATGCTTTCTTGTTGCTGCACATGCTTTCTTTGATGTCTAATATGCGTATATAGACACATCTTGTCTACAATATATACATACATATGTATATAAATATACATTTATACATATATATATATATAAATAAATAAATAAATAAATAAATAATAAATAAATAAATATATATATATATATGATATATATATATATACAACATACACACACACACATCTTGATGTTTGTGTATATTTTTCGTAGACCATGTGGTTTCCGTTCCCCATCCATCATGGCCGTCATGGCCGTGATGGCCGTCATGGCCGTGCCGTCGCCGGGGCTTCCAACTGAGAAGGCATTGTCAACGTTGCCTGGGCGCGACCCAGCTGGACCCAGCTCCATGTGAAACAGGGCACGAAAATGCCACGAAATGTATCCCTCAAAATCCTTCGATTGCTGTTGGCTGTTTGCATATGACAAGTCAACTTGCGAAGGGAGGCCAACCGGGTTTGTCTCTAAAGTTTGGTTGGCTTAACAAACCGAAATTCCGTGCCTCAACCATCCTCAACCTGTATTCTCAAGGACATCATTCTTGAGGGCATCCCCAATTTCTAGTCTCGGTGTGCTGCCCAAGTGACTTGTAGAACAAGCAGCTGCTCTTTGGCAACTGAATTGACACGGAAAATGCCTTGGAGTGCAGCGACATTATCAATGCTGTAAAAACCAAGAATCATTGGATCGGCTTAAGGGAAAAGTTACAGGAGATCCGCAGATATTTGACTACATTTGATAAGAAAAGCATGGTTTCCCGCAGAGTTCTTCTAAGATTATCCCAATGAATCAGAATACACGTCCAAAAGCTGGTGGTGCATAAATTGACGTCATTGCCAACTGTTCCCCCGTTCCCCCCAAAAAGTGAAGTTTCTGAAGGACGACGTGTTGGACCGTTCCTTCCTTGACCTTCCATTTAAGAATGGTGAACAAAACTGGAGGACAAAAGCTTCATTCTTTTGAATGCTCTGCCTATGACAGGAGTTGCACTGGATGGCAACTTTATGCCTCTATGCCCTTCATGGTTTCGTGAGGACTCAGTTCTACTCACTACAGAGATTCTCGGACACTCTTGCCAAATGGCAAGGGGATCTGATCGGCGATCACCCTTTTCGATTTCAGAAAAAAGCACACAGACACTTGAGTCAGACTGAAAGATCGATAGCACAACATCATACAACATCACTGAAGTTCTAGATTCTAGATGGGGTTGTCTGCTGGATTGTAAAATCTGGGGGTGATCTGTGAGCACAAGAAACATATCCAAAAATATGGCCTGCTGTGCTTCGCATCAGCTGGCGGCTTAGACTGCAGAGAAATCTCGAATTGTCAGCCACTTGGAAGGCTTGGAAAGCTAAAGTGGCAGGAGTTGAAATCCCTCAAAGCCACATGCTTTCTAGCCCATTTTGAAATCTCTGGGATCCAGTCACGTGGTCACCAGGATTGGGAGCTGGCTGAAGACCATGGCCAGGACCTGCCATTTGCAGTTCGAGGATCATATTGGCCACCATCTTCTCCAACTCATGAAGTTGCTTCACCATGCCTTGCATCATCCGTGGGTCTAGCCCCGTGTTTTGTGGAATCTGGTCGTATGCCGATGCCACCGATGCCGCCGACACAGACCTGAACTCATGTTTCCCATGAGCGAAATTGCAGGCTCCGCCTTTCGCCGGCACCATCTTCTGGGTTGGGGCCGGCAAGGACCTGAGCTCATGCTTCCCATGGGCAAAATTGCAGGCTCCGCCTTTGCGACAGTGTCCTCTCGCGAACTCGTAGCAGAGGCCTGTTGCTTGAAGGCTTGGCTGTTCACGCAGCTCGCTCTCCGAGTGTGCGAATGGGCACTCCATGCCATTGAAGCACTTGCGTGAGTCCCAGTACCTGCACTCAAACGATCACAGACTACACCTTGCAGAAACTCACACAACCCATTGAAACAAAATACCAACCAAAACGACCAAAATAACAAAATACCCAGGCACCAAACTTGTTGCTTTGATAGCCAGCGTTCGTGCTAGTTAGACATCTTCAACCCTTGTTCTTGGTGGTTAAATCATTAAAGTCTCAATTCATCATCCAATTTTCCGTAACAGAAATAATATGCCGTGGTACTTTTTTAATTCTTTTTTACATATGGAAAAATCCTCCATTTCTAGACAACTGTCGCAGCATGTCCCACTTGCAAACCTCCATTTAATTCATCTAATTTCAGGATTTCCCAGCCATACTTGAAAGCTCGAGGCGCTTGCATATCCGCGTGAACTTCAAGGCCTCACGTGTTTTCTCTGTGGTCATTGGAAACGATGAATTGGCATAAAGCCAACACCAAGGTACGTACTGACCAAGCAAGCAAATGGCTGCGGATGCAATGGCACAAGATGACGCCGTGAGTGTACGGGTATGGGGTCCCCACATTGGGGGTTTGGATGTATTTTGTTTTAACCAAACTTTCTGTATGGATTTTACTTCTGGTCTTGGTTTATGATCATTGTGGCTCTTGCAGCACAATTTTTGTTGAACATTTTTCATTTTTACTAAACGGGTCGTATTCATTGTCACACCAACGAAGAAGAACAAGGTAAGTTTTGCCCAGCCAGTTTGATATTTTCACCCCAAAGTACGGTTTCACCATGCATTTGGGAGCTGTGAAATGATGATGATCTTGCCACGATCGTAGAGGTGGAACTGGAACACGTGACACGTCCCCATCAACTGGTGGCAACAGTCATTTTTGTGTCCTCAAGCACATGAAAAAAGGCTCGTGGCTGCCGAGGAACAACTCTGGAGCCAAATATGGGCATTCCTGGTGCAGGGTTTCAGGGGTTGTGGGTTTGAAGGTTTATCTCCCAAAAGGTCGACTCTTCGTCTTAGTGCTCTTTGGTGTAGGGTACGGAGGTGCTCGGTGAATGAAATCAAAATGCCGAAATGATGAAAACGAACGAAATGTCTATCTTCTGAGAAAAACATATTGTTACGTGTCACTTTTTTGCGACCAGGACTTTCGAATGATTTTGGACACTTTTCAGGGCAGGGTATCTCGAAAGGTTGGCAATGGGGCATCCAGTGGTATCGAGCACACATTCGTAACGTACACCTTTCGGAAGCAACGCACGCAGTCCTCTGGGCAGTCCATCTGGTGGTAGCTGATGGTGCAGTTTGTTGCCAGCTTGTTCCCACCTCGCAACCAGAAATGACCCAAATGGCCCATGGTTTGGGGGTTTCTCATCAGACAAGCTATGGTTGAGTTCCAATCCCCTTTATGATACAATGGGAATGCATACATACAATGACATACATTATATATAGGATTATGTATGGTCGATTCACTTCCCCCAAATTACGCAAATCAGTAGATTACACCCATATAGACCTTCGTAACCAAATTCCATACCAACATTAAGAAGCAAAACAAATAACCCATATCAAAGTAAATAATAAAACTTATAAACATCCATCAAAACATATATAAAGCTTCTTTAAGAACAACCGACAAACCAATACAAAAACCCCTATCAAACCAACAGTACAAACAAAAAACGACCAACGATCCCACCATGATCTGGATCCCCCAGGGCCCCAGCAGGGCAGTGAGGAACCACCTTGGTAAGGCTTCCAGTGCATGCCCTTCAGCTCCGCAATTACACCACAACCACCTGCGGGGACTAACGCCCAACAAGGGATGCTTTAACATAGGCACCTATATATATATACATATGTGCATAAATATATATATATGTATATATATATGTATGTATGTATGTATGTACGTATGTATGTATGTATGTATGTGTGTAAACATATACATATACATATACATATACATATACATATATAAACACACACATATATATAAATATATATATAATATATGTAAACATATATATATATATAAATAAATATAAAATATATGTAAACATATATATATATATACATAAAAAATATGTAACCATATATATATACATATACATATACATAAATATATACATAAATATATACATAAGTATATACATATACATAAATATATACATATACATATACAGATGCATATGCATATACATATACATATAAATATACATATATATATACATACATATGCATATACATATACATAAACATATAAATATACAAATACATATACATATACATACACATATATAAACATATACATATACATATACATATATATTTATTTATACATATACATACATATATACATATACATATACATATACATATATATATATATTTACATACATATACATATAGATACATATATATACATACATATACATATTAACATATACATATACATATGCATATACATATACATAAACATATACATATACAAACATATACATATACGTATATATATATATATGTATTTATACATATACATATATACATATATACATATACACATACAAATACATATGCATATACATATACATATGCATATATATATACATATACATATGCATATGCAAAAATATGTAAAGATATATATATATATGCATTTTCATAAATATGTAAAGATATATAAATATATACATATACATATACATATATATATATACATACACATTTGCAAATGTATATACATATACATACATATATATATACATATGCATATACATATATATATATATTTATACATATGCATATGTATATACATATACATATACATATATATATACATATGCATATACATATACATACAGATGTACATATATATATACATGTATGTATATATATATATACATATGTATGTATGTATGTATGTATGTATATAAATATTACAACTATAGAGCTTGTATATCTAATGTCCAATCCCAGTTGTTGATATGGAATTTCAACACCCTGGGGATGTATATATCTTTCAACAAGAGGGACATTGAAGCCGTAAAAACATGGAGCGTTTTTGAGTACAAAGGATGCTTATAATGGGACGTGAAGCGGCAACAAATCAGGATAAGTGAGGAGTTAAGCACAAAAACTGGAATGTACCTGTCAAGCATGGGTGATTTACCCATCAATATCATCAAACCAATCAGTAAGAAAAGGAGATTTCACCATCAGAAATAATGAACTCTGCAGGAACAATTGGAATTTCAAACGCTTTTATCCAGGCAAAGTCGGTGGCATTTTTGGTCAGCCACTGAAATCGCCTGCGTCGTCACCTTTGAAAACTTGTTCCTCGCTCGCCGCGGTGTTTGGAAATCTTTCTGGTGGTTTTTGATTCCCCAAAAAGACTGACAGTCATTGGGGATAATCATCTGGGGATGGAGATCATTTCTGATAAACCATTGATCAGTTGATCAGTTTTGGTTCACCCCTGATTTAAAAACCTGGCGAGGGACAACCCGGCCAGTTCTCACTGATGACCTGATGTGAACATGACGGTTTCATGATCGGAAATGACTCCTTTTTCCAAATAAAGGGCCGCCGAAAGCCAAGCCTTTGGGTGCAGACTTGTGATTGATATTGAGCATTCTTTGCATTATCTTCAAATTCCTTGTGAATTTTGCCCCCCATCACCATCTTTTCTTTTTGTTTCTCCCTTCATTGAATTTCGATCCATTCTAGCTGGCAACCTGTCGCAGCGCCAAGTGTCAATGGCGCGCATGGCCTGCCGAGGGGACGGGATTAGCTACATCCAGCTGCAAAAGATGGTATAACCAGTGAACCTCTTTACCAGCTGGGGATTTAACGAGATGACAGCTATGAAAGCCTCCAAAATTGCACTTTCCAACTTTCAGGACAATCATATGGCTTCAATGTGGGTGAAAGGAGTAATCAAGTCCAATTGCGGAAACAAAAACGGCAAAAGGTCAGGGGACCTCAACCCCAACAGAAGTTCTCAATCTCTAAGACCTTACAGCTCAGGTATGGCCCCAAATTGGGTCAAAGAGACTCATGAACTTTTTATAGGCCTGCTACGGATGGAACGAAACAAATCTGGCTGCGAGCATTATCCAAGCCATTCATCGATTGGTGCTGTTTTTCTGGTCCGTACCCGAATTAGCGAGACCACTCAAAGGATTGCCTAAGCAATGTGAAACTCAGTTATGAAGTGCGCTACATGCGCCCATTCCAGTTGAGAATGCAAGCAGCGCTACTCCTACCGGCAGAAGCCACTTTACGGTCGGAAACATTTAGAAGATTTACCCGCAAAACAAAGTGGAACCTTTGTATAAATATCTATCAATACCTATGTATTTAAATATATGTATATACATATATACGTATATATCTATCTATCTATCTACCTATCTACCTATCTATCTACCTATCTACCTATCTACCTACCTATCTACCTATCTACCTATCTACCTATCTACCTATCTACCTATCTATCTAGCTATCTAGCTATCTAGCTATCTAGTTATCTACCTACCTATCTATCTATCTATCTACCTATCTACCTACCTACCTACCTATCTAGCTACCTATCTATCTACCTATCTACCTACCTATCTATCTATCTACCTATCTACCTATCTACCTACCTACCTACCTACCCATCTACCCATCTAGCTATCTAGCTATCTAGCTATCTAGCTATCTACCTACCTACCTATCTATCTACCTACCTACCTCCCTATCTATCTATCTACCTATCTACCTACCTACCTATCTACCTACCTATCTACCTACCTATCTACCTACCTATCTACCTATCTACCTATCTACCTATCTACCTACCTATCTACCTATCTACCTACCTACCTATCTATCTATCTACCTACCTCCCCTATCTATCTATCTACCTACCTACCTACCTACCTACCTATCTAGCTATCTAGCTATCTAGCTATCTAGCTATCTAGCTATCTACCTACCTATCTATCTATCTACCTACCTACCTACCTCCCTATCTATCTATCTACCTACCTACCTATCTATCTACCTACCTACCTACCTCCCTATCTATCTATCTACCTATCTACCTACCTACCTATCTACCTACCTATCTACCTACCTATCTACCTATCTACCTATCTACCTACCTATCTACCTATCTACCTATCTACCTACCTACCTATCTATCTACCTACCTCCCTATCTATCTATCTACCTATCTACCTACCTACCTACCTATCTAGCTATCTAGCTATCTAGCTATCTAGCTATCTACCTACCTATCTATCTATCTACCTACCTAGCTATCTATCTATCTATCTACCTACTATCTACCTACCTACCTACTATCTATCTATCTACCTATCTACCTACCTACCTACCTATCTACCTACCTATCTACCTACCTACCTATACCTATCTACCTATCTACCTATCTACCTACCTACCTATCTATCTATCTACCTACCTATCTATCTATCTACCTATCTACCTACCTACCTACCTATCTAGCTATCTAGCTATCTAGCTATCTAGCTATCTAGCTACTATCTATCTATCTACTACTACTATCTATCTACCTACCTATCTACCTATCTATCTACTATCTACCTATCTACCTATCTACCTATCTACCTATCTAGCTATCTAGCTATCTAGCTATCTAGTATCTACCTACCTATCTATCTACCTATCTACCTATCTACCTACCTACCTATCTATCTACCTATCTATCTACCTATCTCTACCTACCTATCTACCTACCTATCTACCTACCTATCTACCTATCTACCTATCTACCTATCTACCTATCTAGCTATCTAGCTATCTAGCTATCTACCTATCTAGCTACTATCTATCTATCTACTATCTACCTCTACCTCTACCTACCTATCTATCTATCTACCTACCTATCTACCTACCTATCTACCTATCTAGCTATCTAGCTATCTAGCTATCTACCTATCTAGCTACCTATCTATCTACCTACCTATCTACCTACCTATCTATCTATCTACCTATCTATCTATCTATGCATAGCTCTATGGATCCAAGTAGAGCCGATGGATCCAAGTTTTTTCTTCCCCAGTCCCTGCCTTGGCGATCTCCTGACGGATCGGAGTCAGGGACAGCACTAGACATGGCCATGATTGGTATACTATAGGGGTGCCCAAAAAGATAGAGTTTAATATATTTTAGTGTTTCTTTAGCATGTTAACCCGAATCATGTTTTTCCCATCATTTATTGGTTTGCAACTCTTTTGTATCTTTTTTGATTGCGGCTGCTAAACATACCATGGTAGATATCTATACCATTCTACATCTTGAAATGATAAAATAGGGATCTATGGTCAATGTCCAAGTTCAAACACGTGGTAGAAATGTCGGAACATACCAAATTTCTGGTAGATGATTTTCAACCACACCCCCTGGAACTGGCATACACGGTACTGCCGAACTGGGATTCCTTCGGCTGTGTCACGTGTAGATAATGTCCAGAGCTGTCAGGACATTTCTCACCATGGCACTCTGAAAAATGGTCCAAAACATGATGGAATTACCATTCTGAAAAATCAAGATGTAAGAGTGATTCATGTTGAAATCCAGATGCTTCCCCATGTTGACTATTCACCATGTATATGTATATATATAATAATAATACTATCCCATAATTTATTTCCCACAGTATTCCCCAATGATTTATTCCCAATGATAATGATCATCCAATACTATCCCATTATTTTCCCTATATATATATATCCCATAATATTTGTATATCCCTATGATTATCCAATGAATATCCCCGGAAGCTCGGCACCTGATGGGTGTGGTGTGACTTCGCACCCAAACCTGGCTCCACTGGCGAGGCTTTAGGGATGACAACTCGACAATCGGGTGACTCCTAAAAGATAACGTTCTGAAAATGAAAATTCAATGGGAATACTATGGGATATATAGAACATATTCATATTCATATATGGGATATCTGAACATATTCCACATATTCCTAAAATTTCTTAAGTAACTACTACGATCTTTCTTGGATAGCTGAGAACTTCTGAAAGACTTCTGAATTGGTTCGAATCCAACTTCATCCAACTGATGACAATCTTCTGGTGTTGCCAGCCAGAATAAACATGGTAATACCAACAATTTCAACTTAGGAATAAACGAAGTCATCATCTGATTACATCCGATATGAAAAGCTCGTGATCCCTTCTTTATTCATCCATTTTTAAAGCATGTGGCACTTAGATGCATGGAAACCTATGATCAATGACCACATATACACATGTGCAACAAACAACTAAAACTAAGCTGCGCACAAATCAACAAATAGAAAAGAACTACGTTAATTCAAGGACTGAATTCAGTACCTTGACATTCCTATCCCTATCTGAGTGGCTTAGACGCGAGATTCCCATGCTTTCCCCTCTTTCCACTCCCCAATATTGGCCAACCTCGATCAGTGACCACATCTTCCACCTGGACGAGGGGCACCTCTCCCAATTCACATCGAATCCCAATAAAAAAAACCAATTCCCAGAAGGCCTATGACATTTCTAGTCATATATTATATTCATTGGATCAGGTATGAATATCACTAATAACCACTATTAACCACTATTAACCACTATTAATCACTAGTATAGTACATAAAAAATATTAATCACTAGTATATAGTACATTAATCACTAATAACCACTATTATTGGATCATCATTTCATGCCATTTGGGAAAACAATTCGTTTCAACGCAGAACAATTTCTTAACTTAAATCGGTTAAATCCAACCGTCGCAACCGGCAAGGCCTTGCCCTGGCTTAGCTGCGCCAAAACCGCCGCCTGGGCTCTTGGATGCTTCAGCACATCCACTCGTATGCATCAGGAACGCAATCTTGGCATTGAACAGAACATTCAAGATTCATTCGAGAACATCAATTTTTTTAAATCAATAACAAATGGAGATTTCACTAAGACATCATGAATCCGCAAACATCTCGAGTGCCCTAAGGCTCCGTCGAGCAGGGCCCACATCATGGCCTGTGAAAGCGGCTTGGTACCATTAAATTACTTTACTTCGTGTGATCCCCACCATGACATTTATACATGTTCTTACTGGCACATCTTCTGGCATTCTATCTGACATATCTTCTGACATTCTATTTGGCATTCTATCTGGCATATCTTCTGGCATTCTATCTGGCATTCTATTTGGCTATCTCTATCTGGCATCTTCTATCTTCTGGCATATATTCTTCTGACATATCTTCTGGCATTCTATCTGGCATTCTATCTGGCATTCTATCTGGCATATATTCTGACATATCTTCTGGCATATCTATCTGGCATATCTTCTGGCATATTTTCTGGCATTCTACCTGGCAAATCTTCTGGCACTCTATCTGACATTTTATCTTCCTACATGAGGTCCGGCAGGGAACACTGGGCGTGGATGGTCGTGGTTGAGGTCCGGCAGGGAACACTGGGCGTGGATGGTCGTGGTTGAGGTCCGGCAGGGAACACTGGGCGTGGATGGTCGTGGTTGAGGTCCGGCAGGGAACACTGGGCGTGGATGGTCGTGGTTGAGGTCCGGCTGAGAACACTGTGGATCGCGGGTCGCAGTTGGACGAGGACGACGAGGACGACGAGGACGACGAGGACGACGAGGACGACGAGGACGACAAGGACGACAAGGATGACAAGGAGGACGAGGAGGACGAGGAGGAGAAGGAGGAGGAGAAGGAGGAGAAGGAGGAGGAGGAGGAGGCAACTGACATAAAATCTAACAACCCTCACCTGGCAGGTGGGGAAAAAAAACATTTTCAAATTAATTCATTTTTGGCACTTTGAATGAGGCTTTAAACTATTGGCTCAATATCTTGAATTTTCAGGAGGAACATAAAACTAAATCACTATAGTGTGGCGACTTCCCATCATTTCATAATGAGAAACCAAGTTTGACAGCATTGGATTATCATGGAGTCATTCTCGAAATCTGTTGTTGAAACCCTAGTGGGGTTATAAAAAACTGTTGCAATTGGAAGAACTCAGCTGGATTTGATCCAGCAAGGGCCTGGTAAAGATAAAACAACATGTCCAAGATAATCACCTGGAAGATCATGCTTATCTCCATAATTGAATACCTTTTTTGTACATGATTCATAAGTTTTTTCCCATGACATTTCATGAGCTATTTTATTGAGTCATCAAGGGATGGACGAAGTTCGCAGTTTTTGACATTCACCAGTGGATGGGATAACCATTCGAAAATCGTCCCAGCATCCACCAGATCCCAAGATCGCTGAGAAGTAATCTCTGGAGGCTTTTTTTTGATGCTTTCTCCAAGTTGAACCACCATTTAATGCTAACAAACAACTTTTCCCAAATAACTGATAAATTGTGATAAATTGTGGCCCTATCATAATATCCAAAATATCCATTAACCACTAAGCCATTAACAGCCATTCATAAGCGTGGTTGCCTATGAATAGCCGCAAGCCATTATTAACCATTGTTAAGGCCTTCCAGCCGGCCCGCCCGGCACGCGCGAGCCGCAGAGCCAAAACAACTGAGACGTGACCGGACCTTTTAACATGACTTAACCAGAAACAATGGGGGATTTGAAGCAGCAACAAAAAATAGAGACTTGACCAACCACTTTTATACTTTCCAGCTCAACTGACAACAGATTGGCTGTTTTTTTTGGTGCAAGCATCCATTGTTGGGCGCGAAATATGAAATATGTCCACTAGAACCATGACATCACGCTGTCATAGTGACTGTGTGACCATGATGAAATTTTCTGTTACGAAACATCACTGTCCGCCACAACAAGTGATGTAAAAAAACAGGACATGACTTTCAATGACTTCCTAAAAATATCTGACGCATCTGGTCCCAAGGCACTGGGCTTCAATTTCAGGATGTGAACACACCTGGGTTCTTGCCAGTCATGGCAAGATGGAACATCCTTTGACCAAAAAAAAGCGCCATAGCAATATCCTCAGTATCCACAGTCACAGCATCCACGTTGTGTGCTAGTAGAATATGACCCCGATGGGACGACGTCACTGAAAACTGCCGTGCTGAATTTTTCCATCACAAATAAATCCCCGAAAAAAACCCTTAAACCATCAGGTTTCCCAGCAAATAATTAGCAGCAAAATGGCAGGTGGGATAGGAAAAAGTTTTAAAAACCATTGGAAACTCCGATTGTTCCCAGCAATTTTGGACAATCCCCAAGAGTTCAGGGAGCAACTGCACTTTCTTTTTGCCTATGGACTGAGTCGAGTCGTTTTTTGGAGATCATGACTGCACCTGGGCCGGTGTGCTGTGGGGATGTCTCATCTCAACCATGGATCCAAACAAATCGGCCATTTAGGACACATGTTGGCCATTTATGGAGTGATATGGTGATGGAGGCATCCACCTTTGGCTCATTTCTTGACAAGATACAACGAGAAAATCTATGAGGCTCAGGGATCGACACCTTTTCCAACAACGGCAGGCCTTTCGGAGCTCATGATGCTCATGATCCCAGTTGTTTGTACCTGTCATAAGGAGAATTTCAATCTGAAACCGTGAAAAACTCATGGCTTTTGCAGTGAAAAGGATCCCTGGCATTGGACCCATTGGACCATTGAAACCAGATGAATCCCCAGGTTTCCCGTGGCACACCGAGCCATTTCGGACTGCACTTCAAGCATCACCTGCGGTGCGATGATCTCACGAGAAAATATTGCTATGGCCATTGTTCAAATTGTTCAAAGAGATCCGGGCCCATCGATGTATTCATCACATCATTCTACATCTATATTAGCATACTACATCTGTACATATCCATCCCAACAGCCTTCGTATTTCACCGCCACCATTGACCAACGGCCTCTTCCCGAAGGGCTGTATGAACATGTCGGGTCAAGGCACGCTTGTAGAAGTACATAATGCCTCAGTGCATGGACCTTCCAGGTGGGAAAGGGACGAGTCCAAAAACCAGGGCTCTTTTTGAACGAAAACTGGGGATGTTTCATGATATCTTCATGATGTTTCAGGCAAAAAAACACAACAAATCTGAAACCGCTTTGGTGTTGGACTAGTTTTGGCTAGTTTGGACGTGTGAGATGATCTTACCTGGTCTTAGCCATTGAAAGAGACTAACAGTTCTTTGTCAACGGTTGCACTCTGGGCGCCACACAAATGCCAAAGAGTGCTGTAGCTACTATGGCCTGTGGATGTGGCCACCAGGTGTTTTTGCCCAGTATGGTGTGAACGGAAAAACCTCTTCCAAATGCACAATGTTTTCCAGGGTTCCGCAATATCTTTACCAGAAAAGTATAGAAAAGTGAGATCTCTGGTGTATAAACTATTTTTTCCTCTCAACATTTTGATCTCTCTTCAATTGCCGGCAACCCGCTGCGGAGCCAATGCCACAAGGTGGACAAGGTGGACGCGGAAGCGACCCCACCTCCACCATTTGAGAGAAAGACACGCCTGTCTCTTTGCTTTGCCTGGAAATGGAGATGTGGATTTCCTATACGATTAACATCGATTAACCACATGACCAACATACTAACCATATCATTAATGCATTGTTAACCGATTAGACATAGTAGACATCAACCTATGAACTATCAATCTATGGTGGTTTTGCTCATCTCGACCAGGTGAAGCGTCCAATGGTTGGTGGCCAGATCCCACATCTCTCCTCATCTCTTGGCAAAAGCACCATAGATTGTTGGCTAAACTGATATTTGGTTGGTAAAGTCCAATCTTTCATTCAATTCCAATCTTTTTTGCTTATGAACCAATCTTTGTTGGTGAAATCCACCAATTTTCTTGGCAAACACCCCACCTGAACTTTTGATGACATAGCTGCCATCCCTTCATTTGGATCCAAGAATTGAGGTTTGAAACTGTTGATGCATGGGTCATTAAATGTCCCCATTGAACATCACCCAACCATTAGGTATATGGTCTATAATGGCTACTATAAGGTGATGTCCAATATTCCCAAAATGGGACAGTTACCAACCCCTGTGATGGACCTGTTGTCCTGTACAAATTTCTGACAAACCCATATCACATCTGTTCAATGGTGTAAAAACCTGATTATTCCTGGAAAAGACCATATATGGTGGTCATTTTTTTAATGCGCCATCAAGCAACACGTTGTGCAATTTTTTGGGGTCTGGTTGCTTCCTGTTGATCTCCCCATGATATTTCCCTCGGCTTTTACTGTTTTCTTGGTGAAACGGTGAAACCTGTCCCCGCCCAGTGCACGCAAAGGGTAGGAAGGGATTCCGGGGCCTGGGAAGATGGAAAGATGGAAAGATCGGGCTTGGTGACGGTTGGGGATTTAACTCAGTACTTGGGGACCAAAAGCAAAATCATGAAGAGTTGTGGGAAGATGTGCGAGATTTTTTGTTTTTAAACCATCGGATTATGGATTATGGGGTAAAAGAATCAGAATTTGAACAAACATATATTGGGGAGTTAACCAACGACATATTCTCGGATACCATGGGATTTTAATTTTAAGTGATAAACATTAACTTAAAACCCAAACATAGAGGATCAAACAACAACATATGCAGGTCTTGTATCAAGCCCTCAAGTGTTAGATTCTACCCAAACAGTTCTGCAAAAGGTATAGGTTAACTACTTGCTTAGCGGGTCTTGCTCGAAACGATGTGAAACCCTAACAAAGCCATGGGACAGTTTAAGGTATGTTGAATACATTAGGACATCCTAAAGTTCCCTGCTGGAGGGTTGATTTGGAGTGAAATCAGTTACAATGTTGGTAAATTGCAAGAGAAGGGACCCGCCATGTTTGTTGGTGAGTCACTAAGTGGTTGTCCCCTAATGAGCGGGAACATTCAGAACAAACATGGTGCGGTTCGTGGTTCGCGGTTCTTGATCTGTTGCGGGGACATCCCTATCACATCAACTTGCGGTTTTCATCGTCTGCATATGATTCTCCTTCATGTTGATTGACACCTGATTTACCCTTTTTGCTCGTGGTTGGGATGCAGATTGATCATCACACCTTGTGAAAGTATCTGGTCATGGGGATCAACCACTGCCCCTCTCGCCCAGTGGGCTAAGACCATGCTCGCAACCCTGACAAAGAACACTGGTTCTACATTAGTAACCACAATGATATATATATATAGATGTTATTCTGCAAGTATCTACACTAACCCCCTGAAAAAAGTAGAACCTTCCATATATATCCCATATAAATCCCATATTTCAAGCATTTTCGATGACCAGATCACTGCGACCCAGCTGCTCTATGAGCGCTTTGCATTTCTGCGGCGTCCTTGGTCTCAGTGGGAGCCATGGGAATTGGAACGAAGATTGCCATGGGAAAAACCCTTAGAAGCTATGGAATACATTAATATCCATGGGATAATCACTAGGTAGATGGGAATTATATGGGAATTATATGGGAATCATATGGGAATTATATGGGACTTATATGGGAATTATATGGGAATCATATGGGAATTATATGGGACTTATATGGGATATATATATATAATGGATATATGGGATACTCACTAGGGTAACTTGCAGGGTTTTGACATGACCGCCTCCAAGGGACTCCACAAAGCCGGAACAAATGGCACGAGTGACCAAATCCCCATCCAGCTGGCCGTTGTACCTTCGGATGGGAAAATCTACGGGCTTTGATCATGAAACATTCCATCATTCTACGGGGTGTTTCATGAAACTTTTCCATTGAGTATATACCCATTACAACCCATTACAACCCATTCATTACACTTACAGTGACTTATCCCATGATCCCATGATTACATCATTGAAAAAACATCAGAAAACAGCCAGCAACTTTCGCCTCCATCCATTGATCCTCAACGCCCTCGGAGACCACCTCAGGCGATGCTTTGAGCGGTCACTGTTCGCTGTGACCTTGTGACATGATCCGCGCGTTAGTTTCACATCCCATCACTCATGGATTTTACATCCAATTCTACAACTTGCCAACATTGTACATAGTTATAAGTTAGTGAACCCAGTCAGGTATAGATCTACCAACCACAAACCCAACAGCTATGTTAGTTATAAATATACACTTCATCACTTACACCTGTTGCTACCGTAGATCAAAATTTGCTGCCGAAGTCGCGCCGTAAAGGTCAGCTGCTGCTGGAGCTTCTGCTCCTGGGAATTCGTTTTTTTTTTCGAAAAAAATGAATTTTTCAACAAGGATTCCATGCCTTTTAACCCGCGAAAACTTGCGTTTTCAATAAACAATCTGGTGGTTTAAGTATGTTTAACTGCCAACGAAGTTGGATTTGACTATGATTTGACGAAATTGGTTCGAAAAACCCCTGAAAGTCAGGATTCACCAGCCAAGATGGGGAATCCAATGCAAAACATCAGATCTTCGCACCTTCAGTTCTATTTTTTGGAATGTTCACAAAGGTCACTTGGGAGAAGTTGAGATGCAAGGACTGTTTGCGTTGGTGAACTCCCTGGTTGGTTTAAATCTGTGTTGGTTCAATCGATTTGCAAATGAACCAACACAAATGGTCCAACTTCCCCTTTCATGGCTTAAGACCATGATGACGCACAACCAGGTGCCCGTCCGCCGTCTGCGCCACACAGGCTTCCACCTTCTCCACATCATGGATCCCAAACTGAACAAGGTCGGGATAGAAATGACAGCTGTGTGCGCTATGTGGATAATGGAAACACATAGAAAACATTCTTTATTTCTATTTTTAGGTGTATATATATACACACATTGTCAGAAAAACAATGCATATATGTATACAGATTTCAAATATGTGTATATTATGTTGGTGCATAAATAAAGATATATGTATACTTGTCTATGTGTATATATATATATATACATACACATGTACACATACATAGATACATGTGTGCAAATATGCATATAGACATCTATACATAATATAACTGCTATATAACCCAAACGATGGCAAATCCAACTGCTCGCTGATGGGTATGAATCAACACTCTTTGTGGTGGGGTGTAACTGCCAGGCAGCTGCAATGTCGTCTAGCCTCCAACCAATCATCCCAAACATGGTTGAAAAAGGTGCAATGTTTGAAACCCCCAACCATGTATGTATATATATATATCACATTTATTATCTCAACCATATGGTTGCGCGGAAACGGATTTGTTCCAAAACCGCTATGACCTCTTGCATCTCGCGTGTGCTTTCGGCCAACTGGGATCAATCTCTCAATTTGTCCCACAAATTGGGAACTGCAAAATCCCACCCTTTACGGTACGTTTGACCCCTAAACTTGTCATGGGATATGTTCATTTTGGGACAAAGCCAAGCTTTTGAAACAACATTGTGGTTGACATTGCACTCTTATAGAAATGGAGCACATCTCTACAAACCATATCCATGGCCGAGGGATTTAACTGGTATTTGGTTCTGCGGTTCCATATGGCTACGGATCAAAACCGTCCTCTGCAAATATCAAAAAAGTTGGGTATGGATTTTCCCACCAGAACATGGCCAATTTTAGATACTCCGCACAGAACATGCTTCCGTGGCTGGTATCATATTTTGGTTTTGACCCACCCCATACCCACTTGGATGTGGAAAATAGAGTACCAAAATTGACAACTTAAAACTTTGTTTTCACAAACTGCCATGCCGTTGATAAGTTCCATTGACGCTTCTATTTTCGAATTATTCATGGCGTCTGCAGGGAACACAGCGGAAGCACCTTCTTCATCGCGAGAAGCGAACAGGTTGGGCCGAACTTTGCATTCTCGGATTTGCCGTCCAAGGGGCACCTGGTGAGCCAAGAATCCAATTTGGATTAGGTATGCAAAATTTGGGTATTGCTCCTTGGCCTCATGTGAAAGTTGGGTTTCCTCCTTCAAAGCACGTGCTTAACGGAGCCGTTCCCCAACAGCTCAAGACATGTCGTGCTGTATCGGGCCTTGAGCCAGGGCATTGGCACAGAGCACGAAATCTGGCTATATACATGCTCATGCCGCATGGAAAAAATCATCTATACAAATATATGTATAGATATGTATAAATGTATATATACACACACATCATACATGTACATATACACAGTATATATATATATATGTATACAGTATATGTGATATATGTTTAGATATATCTTGAGCCCGTGCGAGAGACCGGCGCCGTTCGTGAAGCCTTGACCGGAGGGAAAGCGAGCGAAAATGCCGATTGCCGTGAGGCGCAGGTGGTTTGGCGTTTTAGGTTGACAATAGACAGCACCCGATATCCTATGGATGGGTTTTGTTATTCCGGTAAGCTTATTTGTTGGCTTTTAACGAGAAGAGTAAGTTCGAGGTGCTTTCTCTACCCATCTTCCAACCGAATGTTTTCACGGCGAAGATGAAGCCGGAGAGCCACTCGGCGAGTTTTTTTTCAAGTGTTTTTTTCAAGGATGTTTTCTATAGGGGATGTCATTCTCCTGCCACGCACTTCCATATTTTGCCTGGTGGACGTGGAATTGCGCAGCATTCAGGCAGACTGTTTCGCTAAGTCTATGTGGCCCAACGCTGCCTAGCAAAAAATTAAACCTCCAGGCACATAGGCATGAGCTATGTTATTTGCTACTTCAGGAGGCGGCTTTGCTTTGGTCAAGTTTCTTTGCCACAGATCATGTTGAGTAAAACCTTCCAGAGACATTGTGGAAGACATCTTTCAGCTGGTATGACTGGTAAACAGCGCTGCTCACGTCTTGTCACACGCACACACACACACAGTACATATTTACATAGATAGATAGAGCAAATCCATGGAGTGTGTGCCCCCATAGGTGTTGCCGTTGAATCGCAGTGCCCGGCAGTGACCCCTTTGAAGACCAAGAAACTTCTCTGTCGACACAGGGTGCGGTTGGGTTGGGTTCACAAATAATTAGCGCAGCGATGCAGATTGCTTTTTTCGTATTCTACTGTTCTACTGCTGCTTTCTCCAGGCATGGCTTCATCACTTCCGATGCGAAGCAGCGAGTGCCCAATCCGGACAAGTTGAGAGCATTGGAACTGGAACTGGCAGTCGTCGGTTCCATTCTACTTCTTGTGTTTTTCTTTTGATGAAATACGGGATTCAAATTTTGTTCGATATAAATCTGGACATATCCCCCTTTCCATCCCTTTCCCCTTTTCAACTCGTTGGAGTTGGCTTGTTGCATCCCCCCAAACAATCCACTCGTCGCGGCACTCGTCTAAGTAGTTGCTGGCGTAGCGCCACCACCTGATCGTCCCCCAGGAATGTCATGAATTCATCACGGCGTGCTGAATGACCCACTGATTGGATGAAGATCATTGATGAAAATCATTGGATTTTTCGGTGGATTGATGATGAATCTACCTCTGATCCAATGACCTGGATCCCACATGACCTTGGAGTATCCCAGCTGGCAACATGGGATGCGAATACATCAATTGGGTCTGGTTGCAAGAGAAAATAAAACGAGACTAGAATTCTAGATCTATGAGAAATGAAGATGATTGCAGGATGGAAATAGAGTACTGAACCATTGGAAAACAATCACAATCAATGAGCGGATGTATGTATGCAACACAAATAATAAACACACAAATAATGTATATATATACATTATGCATTTACACACATAATGTAGAGTATATACATCATGTATCACATAAATGGTAAAATGCAATCAACAATCTGTGGGGTCAATGTATTCCATTGGTCTTCTCCGATCCCCTCAACTGTGATTTCTACTCTTCGGGCATCTCAGGGTGGTAGTTCCCACCAGACTTGGCTCCAACGGGTACCTTTTGATACAGCCTTTAGGTACCCGGTACCCAAAAAGGAGAAAGATCAACTTTTGGGTGTGACAATCTTTCGCTTCCAAAGGATCATGGGGATTTCCCACAAAGGTGACCCCCAGTTCATCGATGTTACCCTCTGGTTATGACATTCACAGGGCTAGCCATGGGATAGATGGCCCTAATCGAAATAGATGGTTTACCTAGCTAAGAAATGCGTGGATTTTCCATGGCAAACTGTGAATGTCATAAGATGTTAATCTATTCATTTCTTAAGTGGATTCACCATGATTCACCCATTTTTTTACACCAGTTGAAGTAGCCCATCTTCGTTAATATCGCCCTTGATCCCTGGTGAAGCGCCCGCCCAGTCTTTAGGGCGGTGGGTCTTTGACCTGGGCTGCCAAACTCGGCAGCATAAAGGGCGGATTCACTGGTTGGATGCTGCTGATAGGAGATCCTGCCGATCCGTTGACACGAAAGACAGATGACACAATATGTCAGATATGCACTTGTAAAATCTGGTAAACCAGTTTAGAACAGGTACAATAAATGGAGAGATGAACTCAAGAACTTTAAATTTTTTTGAAGCACTTTGAAAAAGCAGATATTTCACCAAGCATCTGATGCCGGAATTCCCGTCTTCGATACTGCCACAATTTGAGATCCACATGGGGTGGCACCTCTCATCCATGGACTTGGTGTACAGCTCGTGGATGCAAAGTTGGCGAACATCCTCTCATGATCTGATGGTTTCAATCCTATGGAAGTCATCTGGAATAAGCCATGCCATTTGGGATCACCAAAAAACCCTTACCAGCAAGCAGTTCTTGTATCATAAATGTATCATATATAGTTCCCTGAAAAATGTGGAAACACATGGCTTTTCACATCTTGCCCAACATCTTCTGACGGCTGGGCATTTTTGGTTCTATCCCAATGATCTCCGGCTGCGTTTCTTCAGTTAGCAGATTTCTGGGCAAACCAATTTTCACATTTTGGTGAAATATGTCCCCGTGAAACCTATCGAAACCTATCTGGTTCTTCAAAAATCACCAATTTCTGGTGAGAAATCTCCCATGAATTTCTCGGCACCTCCATGAGCACCACGTAACCCGTGACGGAGCCGCTGCCGTCGGGGTCCTGATATCTTGGGAAATACCATGATCATTATATATATATATTGGGATAATGATACCTTGGGAAATCACATTATATAATTCATATGGAAATACCTTATGATGGATATTATGGTGGATTATTCTTATGATGGATTATTGTGATATTATGATGGATATCATGATGGATTATTCTATCATAATCACATGAATTATAGAATGGATATCATATTATCCCTATAGATATGATGGATATGATGATTCTTATCACAATAATAGGCATATATTTCACAATCATATCATCAGAACCACACTCATGATAATAAGATTGCTAATCACAATAATGATCACAACTACAACAATAAGAACCATAATGATGACACTGGAAGGACAATTAATGGTCTGAAATTTGGATTTAACTCAAACCTGCCGACTTTGAAAATTGGATGGTTTGATCATCAGGACCAAAATATCTGGGTCCTTGGGTGCCACATTTTTAAACCATATATCATTTCCATCACTGAATGAGGCTTTGATCATTGAAGATATGTGTTTTGTTTGCTGACAACGTAAGCTAGATGGGTATCTGTCCAATTTATTTTGATGATATCAAGTGCTGTTCTACAGGACCGAAAACAAGTCCAAATCAACTTGGACACAGAGGTCTTCATCGTTTATCTGTCGGGTTTATCATCACTTTGACCTTTATTTTGGTTCGTTTCAAGACACTCCAGTTACAAGGGGAGGAAACTTTGTAGATAAAGAGGTGAGAGAACCAGTTCACCTCCTTGTGGCTAGTGGCTATCATTTACTTATGACAGCTTGGAGCAACCCTGCATGAAAATATCCCCATTCACCCTCTGAATGGTCCCAAATATGTGTAGACCCCCTGCTAAACCATGGTTTCCAGGGGATGTCAACATTTTTTGTGGGAAGGGATGACATATGCCGGGTGCAAATTCACCACCTCAGCGCAATACTTCCCGGAGACGTCGAAGCAAAGCTCTTTGTAGTCCTTGAATTTCATGAGGAAAACAATCAGACACGTATTTTGTGGTCGTTGTTTTGGGTTGTTTTGGATGCATTAACCCCATTGTTTTCGATGCAGAACTACATGACTTGCAAAATCTGGGATGTAGAACCAATCATGCATATTTTTTTTTTCAAAAGCGAACCGCAGATTTTGTTCATTTCTGTGAGGAATTGGCAGGCAAAAGCCATAGCTGGTAGAATGGTAGAATTTGCAGTTTGGTTGGTTGAACCTTATAAGAAAATTTATACTCTATATCTAGCGGGTCAAGTTCTCCATTTCTTGGGTAACCGAGTAAACCAATCAACTGCATGGCGTTCAGCATTCAACCAATGATTGGAATTACACCAGCAACAGGACATCACCACAACAAATGAGGATTTCAGCAATACACATTTTCATGTACCCTCTGGTAAACTAACATAGCTATTGAAAATGGCCATTTATAGTGGATTTTCCCATGAAAAATGGTGATTTTCCATTGCTATGTTAGTTTACCAGAGGGTAACAAAGAAACATGGAGATTCAGCAAAAACCAACAGGGGATCTGGGAGATCTGGGACTCTCATCAGTCCTTGCTGCCGTCCATGCTGAAGACGTGGTAATGTGGCATAAACCTCAAGTACTCGTTCAACGCCTGGCGACAACGATCACTGAATCATGCTGGCATCCGAAGCTATTTCCAAGAACTTCCCAACTAAAGTGGACAACACAATGCCATTTTTACCTAGCATGACTGGGGATGGTTTACCAATCTATACCAATCTATACCACCCATCAAAATGGCGATGACTTGGAGATGGTAAACACCAGCTGTATCCCCCAGAAAAATCATCCCATCAACCCATCCAAAAAAAACCACTGACGCCGTCCGCCTCCCGTTTGGGTTTGAAGTCCTTCAGGAATTTCTGGCTGCTGACTGACGCTGAACTCATCCAGAGATCCTCGTTGTGGAGTGATTGAAACAAAAAACCTTGGATTTCTGGACGCAATATATATATATATATACATGTATATATATATATATATGTGTATAGGTGTATGTATGTATGTATGTATGTATGTATGTATGTATACATACGTAGAAACACACACATATTTATGTATAATGAAAGTTAAACTGGAAATGAGCCGTTTTTTGTTTTGTAGCCATCATTTGCAGTGCGATCATGAGAGATGTTGGTCGAGCCTACTCTCATCTCTGAAATGGGTACTATCTCGAGATTCATCGATTTCGGGGGAAGTTTTTACACCTACCGGATCGCTTAGTTCACATCAAAATTGCCATCTGCCCCAACCGAGGTCACAACTACCTGCACCACATTCTCAGAGGGAATGTCCCAGTTGAGTTCAACAACAACCTGTGGGAACTGCTGTGAACCACTTCTCGCATGCGATCCTCGTCCTCCATCCTGACCTTTCTTCGAAGAGTTCAATGATTAAATTCCATACTCTTGAAGAAACTGATCCCAATTCTCAGGAAACTAAATTGGAGGTACCTACCATTTTTTTGAGGCCAAAATTTCAGGGAATATCCCCACAAAATATGGCCAAAAATATGGTACAGTACCCCCATTTTAGGTTCCTGAAATTCCCATTGAATTGTTGGTTATCTCAAATTTTGATAAAACACGCACATTTGATGATTAAACCCACAACTTGTTCTTGCTTCACACACATTTTTGGTGGTTGGATACCCAAAGGCACCGATTGGACATATCTTTTTCCAAATTGGACATATCTTTTTCCAAGTTCTGAGCACGACTTGGCCACTCACAGCCACGGAAGGCGCAGCAAACATAGACCCTGCCATGGGTTGGGGATTGGAAGCCTTCCTCCAACAAATGACGATTCTCATGGTCAATGTTAATCGGGGTATAGTAAATTGTACCCATGTATGAGTTCTACCACCATATTTATGCTGGTTCCCCATGGATTTTGCTCGTTAAATCTCTATGTTTTGTTGGTTAAATCAGGTCTCATTGGCGAAATTCAAATTGTTGGTGAAACTTACATTGCCTTTTCATTGGTTGACTCCCCAGGTTTCGTTGGTTAAATCGGATCCCAATTTTCATGTCTGATCTCCAACTTTATCGCCATGAAAACTGCGCGCTTCATCGCCTTCCGAAAGCTGTAGGAGTGATATCTGTACAGTGAAGACTGCAGGAAATAAGAGGAGGATGCCATGAAAAAATCAGCAATCCAACAATCAGAAATTGAAAAAACTCAGATCCAACCAGACTTGACATCTCCACGACTGGCGTCCCATCCTCCGCGCCGTCCCCACGCGTGCATCAGTCCGCAGTGGAGCCATCCACCGATGCCTTGAACAATTGGGAACTGGGGATTTCAGGAACCACAGATTGAGGGTTTTCATTGGAGTTTATTTACTCACTAAATAACTGGGACTTTGCAAGAATCATGGAGGATATAACCTGATATAACCTAAAACAACTGGTTAAAATGGGATGGAACCAACACACATGAGGATTTAATATGGATTTAAAGAACAAAAATAGGGGATGTAGCTCATGAACTGGGATATGAGTGACAAGAAATGGGGTTTCCCTGGCAAAAAGTTGGTGTTTGACCAGCAGAAATGGTAAACCTGGGGATTCAATCAACAAGAATGGATATCTTGCCACACATGAGGATATCTACCGAAAAAAAAACCCCTCCGGATCAAACAATCTTTGCTTTTCAAGTCAACCTGGGGATAATGGGATATGTAATCATATGATCTAGCTGCTACAAGATCTTGCTCATGTTCTGTGGTAAACCAAATGATAATTGAATTGGGTAGGGTTCAAAACAAACCCGAAATGGTGAGTCACTAGGTATGGTCAATTTTATTTCAATTCTTGATTTTGCAGCACTTTTTGGTGGCTAATTTAAGACTTGAGTACGGCCAACTTCATTTCAATGTTCAGGTTTACCACACTATCTGACCGACAGTATCAACGCCCAGAGAATCTGCCATTACCATTGAACCCCCCATCATCAAAATTGGGACACCATGTTCGAAACCCACCAATGAAATACCATTGGTACCCTCTCGTAATTTAACATAACTATGGAAAATCACCATTTTAATGGGAAAATCCACTCTAAATAATCATTTTCAATAGCTATGTTAAATTACCATTGGTGTCGTATCGGTAGTATCTTCCCTTGGTGGTTCAATCCAGCGTCCGCATCCACTTGGTGGTTTCAGATCTAGTCACCTGGTATTTTCATCCCAAATATGGAAAATGAAACATATTTGAAACCATCAACCAGCCATTCATCTGGATAGATTTTGATAGTTCACCAACCTGGATGATTTTCCCATTCGATTTCAGCTCCATAGCTTTTTTACAGCCCAATTATCTCATTCTTGCTGCTTAGATAGATTAGATCGGATTGGATTAGATCAGATTTAGATTTAGAATCAGATTTAGATTTAGATTTAGAATCAGATTTAGATTTAGATTCAGATTCAGATTTAGAATCAGATTAGATGAGATTGACTTAGATATGTAGATATTAGGTATAAAACATTTTTTTTTTGAAACACTGGGAATCTCAGTCCATGGCCTCATCCTCTTCGGCTTCAGCTTCGCCTTGACCCCGCGAGGCCTGGGCAATCAGATTCTCGCTGAAGCCTTCATTGATCCTAGAATCATTGGGGAACGTTTTTTAAAAATAATCTAGTTATCATAAAAAACCATGATCTAGATATGATAGATGATAACTATGATAACTATTATCAACCATGTTATCATAGTTATCATCTAAAATCATCTAGATTCCATCTGTTATCATCCAAAAAACATCTAAATTTATGAAGGAATCCGACACCTTTTTTTGGATGTTTTTTTTCTCAAACATCGATTTTGCCCAAGAAGAATGCCAACCGACCGGTCACAATTTCGAGGTCCCGACCGTGCCACGCCCTCGGCCATACCTGAAATGATGGGTGTCATGGCTAGACGCTGCAATGGCCATGATCATGGTACGAATGATATATATATATATGGGATATATATATATATGAGATATAGTGGGTATAGTTTCGGTATAATGGACACTATATGATATAATTGGGATCTAAAGCAGGAAATTGGAGACACTAAGAGTCAGCAATAATTCATCTACTAGTTGGTGGTTTGAAGCACCCTAGCAATTGAATGTCAAGGATCATCCCAGCCATATGCTTGAACTTTGAAATGTGGGAACTTCCAACTGGGCCTTGTCCGCACCAAGGCCGTGGGAATTTTTCACCAATGAATGGGATTCCAAAATCTTCAACAAACTGTGGATTGTCCATTGCCACGTGCAGTTACCAAAGGATATTTCTCTATCATTTGTGTTTAGTATAGTCAGTTAAACCGTTGTTAAACCATTAAATTCCCAATGTTTGGTGTTTTGAAAACCAATCTGCGGTATCCAATGGATGCCCCAACCACATCTCCAGCTTTGTGGCCTTGCACGGTGCTTGGCACGGTTCTGGCCGATCCTGTGGCGAAAGTCGTAGTCGGTCTCAAAGACGTCCTCCTCCAACGGCTTCTCGTCCTTACGCCAAAGAGCTGAGGAAGACATGGTGATGCCTGGAACATGTCCAGCAAATGGTGATTTAATGGTTAATATTAATGGTTAATATATGGGTATGATATGTAACTATAATTATATATACATGTATTGATTCATTGATATGTATATAGTATATATATATATGTTGGCTGCTTCAAGTTGTTTCATCTACCATTTCGGTCGGCATGGCTGCTCTTGGACACCCAAAACATTTTTTCGGCAGGAAAGAAAACTCCAACAGAAACATCAAAACCAAAACCAATGATTCCTTCCATCAAGTCCATCAAACCCCCATTTTTTTTACTAGTTTAGTGGCCCAGCTTGACAGGAATTGCCATGTCCTTCTCCTCCTTCTTCGGCTTCCTCTTCGGGGCCAAGACTGGGCTTTTCTCCGTCATCGGCGCGGGCATGTGCTGTACGGCCTGCCCAATTTTTTTGGATGAATGGAATATCCACAGAAATACCCTCTGGTTATGTCAAAATAGCTATTGAAAATGACCATAGAAATAGTGGATTTTCCCATTGAAAATGGTGATTTTCCATAGTTATGTTAGTTTACCAGAGGGTATATGGGATTATAAACCATTTAATTGTGGGCAATTGTAATTGTAACTTATATTAAACAAGTGGTTTATGGATTGATTACATGGGTTACAGGATTATAAACCACTGACTGGGATGCACATCCAGAATCCATTCAGGTGATTGCTCTTTCACATCCCAAATCTGGCCAATGCACCCCCGGTGTTTGTTGGTAAATCTCACTTTCTTCCTGTTGGCTAATTTTTTTTCTTGGGCAAATTGCTTTTGTTGAACGGCGGCATATTTTGTTGCTTCGATCCCCAGTTTTCTTTGGAAAATCAGAATATCTTGCTGCTTCATCCATCTTTTTTGCTGCTTCAACCAACGTTTTTTGTGTTTCTTCCCATTCAACGGTAACCATCACCGACATCCTTGGCGCGATCACACCAGGCACTGCCCAAATCCTGAGGCTGGGAGATCCTATTAAAATGGACAGTTTATAATGGACAATCCTGAAAGAAAATGGATGATTTAGGGGTACCCCTATGACTTAGAAAACCTCCGGGATATTTAAATGGGATAGAATCCAGCGATATGACATGGATATGATTAGAACTGGGAAATTTTACTGTGGATATCTTGATTCTCCATATTATTACTTGTTGCTTTGAGGAAAAAAACAAGAAACCCAATGTTTTTTTCCCCACAAATGGATTTTTCTGAGATTTTTTCCTTCCAATTCAGGGGTGATTAGAAATTAACTCCAAAAATGGGGTTATAAACACTAACCACAATGGGGATGTAATGAGATACAGTGGAGATGTAATGAGGTATTTGAGCAATGAATGTTGGATTTGTTCCAATGTGAAAACGGGTCACTTTCAGCCATCCTTTTAGGGGGTGCTTCGCGCAATCGAGGATCCTAAAAGCTTCAGGTTCGATTTGAGAACAGCTGTATGACTGGTAATCCCAAAAACATCTAAAATCAGGCATGGGTACATATCCACAGAGATACATTCCAGTAAAACATTTGGAGTTACTAAAGGCTACTGTTGCCGGTACCCACAATGTTCTTGAGTCCACCTTTTGGAGGTTGATGAATATCCGATATTGATTTGTGCGATGGGGCTTCAAATCCATTTTGGTTGATTAATATGCAATGTTTGGTCAAACACCTACTTTTTGCGACTGAACAATCCCTTTATGTTGACTCAGTTGCAACGTCCCCTAATGAAATGCTAAGTTTCATTGATGAACTCCTACATGTTGTCAAAGAAATCCCCATTCTTTACAGATTAAACCTTCATTTTGGTTGGTAGAAGCGCCGCTTTTCTAGGTCAATACCACAATAAGGAGGTCTAAAAACCATAGAAATGTCAATTTCTACTTCAACTAATTAGATCAAATGAGTGTGTTTAATAAACAGGTTCCGCTTTTTTGACGAAAAATCCATGGGCTCTTCCACCAACGGCGGCCCGCCGGCCCCGCCGGCCCCGCTGTCCTCTTCCGGGTCACGATCGATCAAGCGCTGGCTGACGACCTGGAGCTGCAGGATGTGCAATGCATTGCATGATATACACATTTTCTGATACTATACATATACTGTTATCATATACTTATTGTATATGTATTTGTATATATATATATATAAACAGACACATATCAACATTTATTCAATACATTGTATATCATATATGTATTATTTATAATATATATATGTACATATCTATAAATATTCATGTCTTAAAATGTATCTCTTATTCAGAGGAAGGAGAATCGGGATACGAAGCGACGTTAGAGGCTATACTCTCACGTACCTTCTCAGGCACATGTCTGAAGGTAGCGAAATCATACAATCTCCCCAATATGAAATGCCCCGAATAACGGACTCGCAGTGAATAGGTCCGGGAGATTTTTGATATTAGGAATATTCCAAATTGTGGGAAATGGACATGGCTTGAACATTTCTGGACACATTTGATCATTTTGAATCAATTTAACTGCCCAGTTTTAGGGCTCAAACCACCATACGACCTTTGCCACATCCCCAAAGCTCACCCAAAACATAGAATCCGGCTGAATCAGAATGAGTGACTAACATGAAAATAGTGGTTATCATCTGTTTTCAGGCCATTTGGGCATTGCCCATATATTAAAACCATAATTCCAGCGACATCACCGAGGTCCACCTGCCAGCCGTGGGCATCGGTCAAGACTGGGAACTTTTCCTCATCCTACGGATATGGAAAGGGGAGATGGCTGTGGCTGTGCTCCAAGACTTTGGACCATGTTGATGGCAACGTGATCACCATCGAAGAAATTCAAAAAAAATCAGCGATTTTCATCGAAGAATTCAGCAATTTTCCCACTTGGTGGGAAGCGAATGAGTTTTGGGGTTCTCAATTCTGGGATACCAAAATAGCGACATAAACTGATGATTTAACCGGTGGGATCATCGTCTCCAAAGAACTAGGGCAAAAAGGGGGTCGGCGGCACCAGGGCATTAGCCCGTTTATTACTAAACTAAACTACTAAACAAAAAAAGGAGACAACCAATGTCAGTGGCACAAAACCGCTACTTGCACTTAAGCAACAAGTTCAAAGGTTGAGCACAACTCCAATTCTTCTGGAATTGTCCACAAATGGGGGATCCGCCTCAAACGGAAGCTTTTATAGACAAGATTAGACAAGTGATTATAGACGATGGGGTTTTGACTGTTGAGACAAACCCGTTTGTACTCTTCTGAAACTTCTTCAGACGATGACAACATTTTTCCTTCTGCCAAGATGTGAAATTCAGGGAGCCCAACTTTGGCCACTCTTGCCAAGCATCCAATCTTACGTTTTCTTTTTGTGATATAAATCTTCGTGCCTGTTGAAATCCGCAGTTCTGTTGGTGAAAAACCAGCATTTTTTGGTCGTGAAGAAATAGGGCCCCAAGCCATGGCCGCATCTGGGTGCCCCGGTCGTCCATGCCCATATCCAAGGGTGGTGGTGTAGTCATTGGAACCTGTCCCTGCGTTGAGATGCCCCGAGCCATGGCTGCTTCACTAGTGGATGGAATGGGGTACTACATCTTTTATTCAAAACCATATGGAGGTTTCCTAAAATGACACCCAAGTCATCCAAGTCATGGATGACCATCATTTAAGTCAATTTAAGTATTGAAACCCAGAGTTTTCGGATCCAGCATTTTAAGACCTCCCCCATTATCTATCTAGAGAAACAATCACCTCATCAAAGAATGGGGATAATGCGGGGTCATGTCTTGTAATAATTATATGATCATCTCATACAACCATGAATATATATCATAATGATATCTATCTAACACAAAACTCACACCTGGTCTCATCTTATTCCAACCTGGTGTGCCACGACTTTACAGCCGCCACGGCCAGGGTCAGCCAAGCTATTTCAGGCAGGGAAACATTCGCAGGCACAGCACTAACATGGCAGGGGCACGACTGGCAACGATGACAAAAATACGGTGTTTCTTGACATGGTAAGTCTGGATGGATTCAAAATGGTTGCGGAAACCAACGCAAAGATGAGCAGAAAAGAAAAAACTTTGAGAGCGATGGTCATCTGGCATTTTGATGTGTCAAAAACCAGTCAACAGAATAGTGCCAATAGTTTCCAATCCAAATTGCTCCTGGGTCAGTTCCAGCATGATTAAGATTCGTCATTTACAAATCATATCCATCAGACTGGCCGAAGAGCTCATTTGCCAGGTTTTCTTTCACCTTGTCATCTTGGGGGAACTTCATCTTGTATGGGACATCCTTGGTCTCGCCCTCCGGCCCTCCTTGCAACATTTGAAACATGGCCAATCTGAGCGACCACAAACATCTATCGCAAGTGCTTCCCTTTAAGATCCAAACAACAAGCTCACCTGTTTTCCCCAGGAATAAACATCCAAACAACCCACTTTCCCAGCATTTTCCCAGCATTTTTCGATGGAAAATCCCATCCTTCCCATCCTTCCCATCCACCTCGTTGGCATCGTTCAAGGCGAGGAGCGTCTCCACGGCTTGTTGAGGCGTGGGAGCTTCTGCGTGGATGACGCCTGGGCACCAAGGGATTTGGTGATGATCAATGACTATTAGTAATCAATGTTAGTGATTATTAGTAGTAATCATAGTGATTATTAGTAATGATTGGTGATTAGTGATTATGGAAGAAAATCATGGCGATCATTATTGATCAATGTTACCATATTGTTGGGCGTACACTATTACAATACAATTATTAATAGTGGTTCATGGTGATTGACATTATTAGTGTTAATATGACAATTTGTGGCCATCTATTGATATTGTAATACAGTTATGATAGCGTGCTTTTTTTTTTGGTAGTGATTAGCGTTATTATTGTTAATTACTGACTAACATGTTTATAAATAACAATGATTAATAGGAATATTGATAACATTGAAAGTGATAGTGATTATAATATCAGTAATCATTCCTATAATTGTTAATACATACTATTACTATAATCGCTATTAATCATTACTACACTTATTATAATAATTGTCATTAATATATTTTCCGATCATGCTTAATACTATGATGAATCTGACTTACTAACTTGAATTCACTATACAATTTATTCATGAATTTTAAATCACATTGATAAGGCCATTAATTACAGTTCTTGTTTATGATAAATAAAGTGGTAACTGGAATATCCTAATCACGGTACCAGGAAAATACTTGTATTATTCAGAGCTAACAGTCGAAATCAGCCAGATCAGCACTGGTTAAGTCCGTCCAGATGGTTCGTCCCAAAAAAGCCATGACCGGTGATATCCCAGTTTTGTTACTCATAAAAAACATTTTGGGAGAACCATGGAGAAGCCTCCTTGTCTTTTTGGTCTATGAAGGTTATGAAGTTAGGTCAGTTTTGGATGATCGTTGTTTCCAATGGGAATTGCAGTGCAGAAAAAAATAGGTCGTGTTCTATGCGATTTCCTATTTTCCGGAACTTGGGAGCTTCATGGGTGGCAATCATTTTCAGTTTTTTTTTATATGGAGGAACAGTACCTGCAATACAAACATTCACTCCTTTTCCTCATCCTTGTGCATCGCTCCCCCAAGTTGCACAGATTCCAAGAACTGGTCCCTTCCCCGGACATCCCCCAATTCTTTCAGCATCCAAGGTACGAATTAAGTCAGCATCGAGGGAAGGAAACATGGCCTGACGGCAAAAGGCATTCAAATACGCAAATGCACGGTTTTCCCATATTCAACAATCTAGAGAGTGTTTCAGTTTCAAGCCATCGAAACTTCAAGTTGTTTGGGTAACAATATAGCCTGAAACCCAACAGAGCCACCTATTGCGATGCTGGCGACAGTGCTCCTTTTGTTAACTCCCTATTTACAAATTCGGATCGGTTTTCAGTCCGTTTTTCCATCTTTCCAGTACTGAAACCCACGTTCTAATTGGTAAATCCCATTTATATCGAATTTACATCCATCGATGCCATATTTCTGGGTCCAAAGCCGTACCTGGAGCTCATTGATGGATGCCTGCTCTTTCGCCGCAGCCGTCACACCTGGGTCATATCCACAAAAGATGGGGGTCAGGCACCCCGGTTGCGAGATAAAGGAACCATAAGGGATCCATGTTTCGTGATGCCGTTAAGTCAGGTACTTGTGAACATATATAAGCCATCCCCAAAGGAGCAGCCTCATGCAAAAATGCAAAGGTACTCATTCGAAAACATCCGCAGTTACAGTACTTATAGTTGATTGCAAACTCAGAAACAGTTGCGTTTCTCTAAGATCTGCAAGGTCATGGGTGGCCTTAAAAAACTCTCCTTTGCTTGGAATGGCATGCAGCTGAAGTCTGATGATATTCCCCCAAAGAACTGCAACGGAACAACTCCTCTTAACCCAACGGAACTCCAAGTTTTCCTGCCAGTGACTGTGCTCATACTGCCGCTCCAATCTTTCTTGTTCCTCATCGCGGTGCAGCTGACCTAGGAGCAGGTCATTCTGGGTATCGAATAGTCAAATCATGGTGAAATGATTAGCCTATCGTTTGAGAACATCCATGGCCTCACATTAGCACTTTCTCGGAGTTCCTGCCCACATTCCACTATCTTATGATGACCGTTTTAATTTTCATCTTCCCCATCTCGGTCGAATTGGTCAAATCTGGAGATTGTTGATCCAAAAAGGTCCATGAAATCTTCAACCAATTTTTGTCTGCTTGGTGACTGCTCTCACGCGCCATTTCATCGCACACATCCAGAGCTTTTTTTCCTTGTCCAAGAGGCAAACTCGAAGCTACATCGCCATCAACCGTTCCACTTTTCACGTGCCAATCAGCGGTCACCAACACAAATTTCGCACCACATCTGCGGACCAAGACATCCACTTTCTACTGGTCAACCCGGTTCACCGAATTTCTTTGAAGGCAAATCTACAGGATTTTGCCCTTTAAGCCATGCATTGATATATGAATTTCCTATATTGCTTGGTAAACCATTTCATTCTTTTTTTGGGCTAAACCACCATTTTTATGGGTTAAACATGGTTAAACATGGTTTTTTACATGGTCCACCATCATTTTTGCTGGTCAAACCCAGCTTTTTTTTTGGGTCAAGTCAGGACTCTGAGCTGGGCGACGGCAGCGCTGCTCGAACTCTTCGCGCGCTGCGGGGTTCGCCGAAGGCTGTGCCCCGGGCATCAGCTCCTGCGTTGCCGGTTTTGCACTTTTTTTTTCAGATCCAGGGGATTTTAATGGATTTTTGGGGATGGATTTTAGGAATTTTTGTGGGGGTTTCCAAAAAAAAATATATAGAGGTATACCCAAATCATCAAAGTCAATTAGGTTTCCTAAAATAGGAAAATACCCAAATCATCCAGTATTGAAACCTCTGGTTTTGGGGATCTTGTATCGCCCATTGTAGGACACCTCCATATTATGCGGTTAGAATGGGAACATGACGGAAATAGGGCTGCGATTAAATACATATCTATATATATATATATACACACATATATATATATATATATACACATATATATATACATATATATATACACATATATATATATACATATATATATATATACATATATATAAACTTGGGATTTCATCACCAAAAATGGCAGTGTCATGGGAATAACATGGTGATTTATAACGGGCATAATGGGGATGGACCATTTTTGCTGGGTATAATGGATTGAGACAGGGATTGGGCAAAATCCTGTCCCTTCTCTCAACATCAAAATAGTTGGGGCATGAATGTCCATCCTAAAAGGGTATTTAAAGGTATGGATTCATAGCCATATGGGGTGACCTGCTGATTGGCGGTAATTTTCTGGTGAATTTCATCAAATATAGAAACATATTGATTTGGGTTTAGATGGGCGTATACAAAGATTCAGACAAATTGTATGGGGACAAATCAGAATGTATCGGTTCATATCCAATTTTTTGGCGAAGTATCACCGGCGTATAGCACAGGTCATGCTGCTTCTCCACCGTGCTGAAGCGGTCGCGCACACTCGTGCGCAAGCGGTCGGTCATGAGGTGGGGATCCCTGCGGGCTCGATGCCCCTTAACAACTATTGGAGTTTCATATCATGGCATAATCTGCCCATCCAATAAGCACCAATATGTGTTTTAATGGCTTGCATAAACATTTTTGGCTGGACAACTAAGTACTTTGAGGCTTCGAGTAGCAAATGACTAATCACCAACCATTTTCGTTCAAACCCCAGTTCATTCCGTGAATTGTTGAGGAATTCACTACAGCAAGTGGGTCTAAGCAACAAACCTGGGCCCGAAATTGCAGACTTGACCCCCCAGGAACAGGTGACTGATTTCAAACAACATCCTCATATGTTCCCAACGAGAAAATAGAACAAACAAAATCAAGATCTTTTTTCGCAACAAATACGGCCAACCAACTCAACAAGGGGCCGGGCTCACTAAATTTGTTACCGAGAATACCCAACGAGATTTTTTTCGATATAATTCTCTGGGTCAATGCTTTTGATCCACAACGATTTCGGGGTTTTCCGAAGCTTCACGAGGATGACCCCGGTCACCCGGCTCCGGCATATCGAAGAGGTTCACGTAGGGCGCTCGCCCCTTGGCCTGGCTTCGTATGGGTCTCACATCAAAATAGATGGAATTTATGGATGTTCATCCCACCTAAAAATGGTATTAATAGGTATTGATCCATAGCCATATATATATAATATATATATATAATATGATTATGTATAATGTATAATATATATATATGTATTTATATATATCTATATGTATATATATATGTATATATATATATATGTATATATATATATATGTATGTATGCATGGCTGGATGTCTATATGGATCGAGCCAATTGTGGGGATGGGATTAGTGCTTTGGGCTGTGGGAAACGGTGAGAATGCCATTGATGACCAACCATCAACCTGATAACCTGATTAGTGTTGGTTATGTCCGCATTATATTGTGTAAATAGTTATAATTTCATTAACCACCATATCCCAATTATATCCCCATGATACTTCCATCACATGCTTGGTTGAAAAACCTATTGTTCTTGCTTCAAGAACTTCAATCTGCATCACAAGTGGTTGCTTCAACTGCATCATAAGACAAAACAACACACAAAGATGCTGGTGAATCCTCATTTTTGCGGGTTGATTCCCCAGTTTTGTTGGTTCTCTATTAAAACAACACCAACCAGTCACGTCAAAGATTTCCAACCAGCCGTGCTGGCCAGCCTTGGACGTGGATGCAGCCATGGTCGAAAAGGCCTCGGAAATGGTGCTTCCGCAACATGGGATATGGTAAACTTTACTACTCTGGGTTGGTAAATGTCATGCCTCTTTTTTTCTGGGTTACTATAGGGTTACTATAGTATAGGTGTCATGGTGTGCGGAAACACTCGACTTACCATTACAAGCTTTGATTTTGGATCATCCCATCTTCGCAGTGCGGCAACTGGGTCAAGTGGTGGAGTGGGTTTGAAGCAGTGCTTCTCCTGAGCTCCTCTCATGTCTTTTTGATGAAACAAAGAAACTGCGAAGAACGTGATACATTTTCCGCATCCGGAAAAGCACACATATTTGTGGGTCTGTTGGCACATCTTTGGGCATCTTCCAACTGGATACTCAGCTAATGGCATCTGATTAACACGCTGGGAATTCACATGCAAATGCTGCCACTTGGAAACACTTTATCTTGGTGAGGATGAAAGAGTTTGTCTCACACCATGGCTTTGTCCGGAAGTGTGTACGACAAAATGGAACTTCCAGATTCCAATGGGTGACATGAGCTTCCAAAATCATTTTTTTTAAACGTTTTTCCCAATTTCTCGATCAGTTTCCCCATGCCCACAAAACATCATCAAACTGGGTAGCCTGGCGTCGCGCGGATGTGAGACAGAAAAACCCAAGCGGATGATCAGATCGCTCTCAGATCAAGTCTTTGAATGTCAGACATTTCTGTAAAATCTGATGGGATGGGATGAGAACATCGAGGCTACCAGCAGTGATCAACCGTTTGGGTTGGCACAGAGTGCCAGAAATGGTTTTGGCTGAGAATGGCAGCGACGGAGACCCAGTCCGATTCCCTTCAGTCTCTGAGAGAACAGATGGAGAGGTGAGCGACATAGCCACTGCCAACTGCAGTGAATTTAACACGCTTTCAGGTGATTTCCATCGCACAAATCAATGGTCGATCCAATTACAGTTTGTCAATTTACAACATGAACTTGGGTCCAGCATCCTCAAAATTGTACCGTTGCATTGAGTGGGTGCAGGGATAATGTACTGATAGCTGTGACCCTGAGAAAGTGGACAGCACCACTGCAACACAATACTTGGCACTTCCAGCCAAAATATGTGGCATTTACCTTCTGGGGAACTATATAAGCTATAGGGGACAACACCGAATTTGGCATCAAGAAAAACCATCTGGGTATGGGTCCAAATAATACCAACCAACACTATATATATATACGTATTGGTTAACGTATGTTAATGTCATGAGGTAAACCCAATCGGAAACCATCCCCCAGTCATCAATGTAAAAACCATCCCAAAGTTTGGTAGGTGGTAGGTTTATGGCAGCCAGAGTTTCCCACATGATATACCCATGACATCCCTATTTTTGGCGTGAAATCCCCCTAAAATCAACGGCCTGCGTGCCGGGGTCAGCTAGCAGAGGGTCGATGAGTTTCTGTCCTTCCTGGCGAGGCTGGGTGAATCTTAACCAGAAATGAAACCATTAGTTTATAAGGGCTCAAAGGGGTGATAAAAAGTCACGTCGCATTCTTTTCATTGAATTGGTTTTATCTTTTCGGGGGTTGCTTTGTGATTATGTCAACACATACATATATATATATACATACATACACACACACACATATATATATATATGTATGATTATAATCTCTGTATAGCTATGATATGAACAAGGAATTGAGATGAATTCAGTGTAGCTATGGGTCAAATCCTTGGGCTCCGGGCTCGGGCTGCACACCTATCTCCGACTTCTGTCTCAGCACTTCATCACTTTTGGTATTCCCCATCCCCAATCTGGTGCTTCATTGAATCTGTATTCCAGTTTGTAGCATCCCTAGTTCTATATGATCTAAAAACCACAATAATAATCTGGGACAGAAAGCCGCCCTTTTAGGGTCACAGATATCCCAATTTTTGGAACTGGTTCTGCTTATCCCATCACTAGATATCTCCGGCTACAACCAATCACTTGACCACATCAGGGCCACCAGTGACGGATGGTTTTAAACCCCGGTGACGTTCCACCGCATCGGTCGGTCCACTTTTGCCCCGTTTGGGGAGCTGCTGTCAGGGGCCAAGGAACGGCCAAGGAACGGCCAAGGCTGTGTCGTTTTAAGTCCCATCGATACACATGTATAGTCTTCCTGGATAGAATAGAACAAGTTACAAAAATCTTCAGTAAAATGGGAATATGTCAAAAAAACATATTTTATCTGATGAATATGTCTTCAGGATGAAAAAATATATATATATATTTGTATGTATATATGTATACATGCATGGGTGATGTACATAAATCTACATCTCTCTCTCTCTCTACATATATGATTCGACATATGTATATCTACAAAACAAATCTGTAGCAAACACGTGTAAACAGTTTCACCTTTGTGATCCCAAAGCGTTGCACGTTTACACATATGTGGCTGTCTACTTGTGTACCTGTGCATCTATCCATCCATCTATCCGTTCATCCATCCATCAATCGTTCTACATATATAATCATACACATATGTATAATATAACATAATATAATATAATATAATCGAATATATAATATATATATATATATACATATATATATATGTATCATAACAATAACAATAACATAACATAACACAACATCAACATAACATAACATAAACACAACATAAACAAATCATAAACATAAACACAACACAACATAGTATTCTAACATAATATAACATAATATAAATTTACCTGTATACTGTGTATACACATTTACAATGGTATATTTTGACGATATGAGAACTGGCTGGTGCTTCATGTTACTGGACCTGGGGGACACTGCCATGGTCGTCCCTGGAAAGTCTGCGAGCTGGCGATCTTTGGACGGCAGGATTTCGAGGAATTTGAGCAAAAACCCATGGGATTTACTGGAAAATAACATTGGGGATGTCACACACACACACACACATATATATATGTATAAAATGAATATATAGGATATATGGGATTTATAAACAAATGTGAATTATGAGCAAGAAATCAAGAACTATTGTAATTTCTCAGATAGGAACAGGGATGTGAACCCCAGAAACAATGCATAAACTCACGGATTTGATATCATCTGAGCGCTGATGGCCCCTGGCGACTCCACTGTCATTCACTGTGGGGAAGGTCACTGTGGGGGTTTCACATCTATGTACAAAGGTTATATATATATATATAGCCATATGCATAAACATGTAGATGTAGATGTCATTCTACATATACATCTATAAATCGTCATTCCCTTGCTTTTGATTAAACCATATCGAGCAAACAGGTCTGAACCGACAGAAACGCGTTCGTTGCGCATCCGAACTTTTCGCTGTGACCAGCTCGCAGGTCATGTGCTGTCCGCACCAGGCGATTCAGGGGCCAGGTTTTTTTATTTCAGGGTAGGCTTAATAGCTCCCTCTGTCATAGGGATGTTCCGCATCCTTGGCTCCATTCTTTCAACGCAACAAGGGGAGGAGTTCAACAACAGAATGTTCCAACTGAGTCGGCCAGTTTCCTCAAATGCCTCTCCAAGGGAAGATATTCGGGTCTGCTCACTGGGGAATGAACTTATCGTGTGGTTTTCTTTGGTTCAAGTGACACCTATGACTGTCATTTGATCTGTCAAATCAAACCACATCTCCATGGTTTCCGGAAATCAACCTTCCAAGCGAAACATTGCATGACCAGATGAAAACATATTGTAGTGGTGCGGGCTGTCTAGAAAAAACCAATCGCATTCCATGCATTTTCGCGCTTCAACGCTTCAGATTCTGACCTGATCGGTGGGCCGTTGCCCCACCATTCCGATGGTCCCATATGACCACCTTGAAAGAACAAGCAGTGGGACATGACTTGTAGAAACATCCATTTTCTTTTCTGGCAAATCTTTCTCATTAGATATGGAGATATTTTTGCCGGGTATTTTGGAATCTGCCAGCCATGAAACTGACAGAAATTGTGGTGTACAGAGATTTCGGGAACATCCATTCACTTGCCATACTGCGACTTGGACGAAGGTCATGAGTGATTTTGTTGATTCTAACCCCATCTCATGTGCGCCAACTGGTACTTTCCTTGGTTAAAGAGAAAACATGTTGGGTTTTATGTACATACACATACAGTAACATACATATGTATATGTATATATATACATACGTGTATACGCAACACACACACACATACTATACTATATACTATATCCTATATACTATACACATACATATGACATATGAATGCCACCATCTTGATTGGATTCCCAGATGTGGCATTTCCCAAGGGCCTTGTGGCTTCACACGACGGATGCAGCCTCGCAAGGTCGAGGTTTTCCACGACGGGTTTGACCCCTCCATGAACCAATCATCTCCCTATTCTTAGTGGATCAATAGCATCCCTGTTGTGTTTGTATACCTTTTGCAGGCAAATATGAAAGCAATATTTCCCTTTTTGTTTCCAACCAGTCAAACCTTCTGATTCAAGCAGCAAACAGATGCTATGATGGGTGCTCCAACTCGATATATTCACATTAACCGACAGAAGAACCCCAGCGCTACCGCCGCATGATTCGCGCCTGACTGTGATACGCCCAGTGGAGGTCCATACGACACAAGGGGCACCGCATCTTACGTGCCAACCACTCGAGCAAACAGTCCTTTGGCAGCCGACCCAGTAAAAGCAGGACGTCGTCGTCATCGTCATCGTCATCGTCATCGTCATCACCATCATCATCATCATCACCATCACCATCATCACCACCATCATCATCACCACTAATCACCAATCACGATTCACCACCATTCATTTGAACTTTTCCTTCCCGTTCACTTGTCCTTGTGAAAATGATGTTGGCAGGGAAGCGATCCTGAAGGGCAAGCTGGGGATACCAAAGGGTTGGGCTCGGTGTCTTTTGAAGTTCAGAGCCTAAAAGGGTCGGCATGGGTTTCTGCCACAAAATAGGTCTTGCAGGTTTCTTGAAATTCAAATAATATATATACATATAAATCTCTCACTTTATATCACTATCATTCCTAGCTTTGTTGGCCAGTGTAACCACTCCTCGTGCATTCCTGGTTGCTCCTCTAGACCCGTTTGCCACCAACCCCCCCTCTCTTCATGGCTGATACCCTGCAAAAATCACCATTCACCAAGGCGTATCCAGATATGTGCCAATTTTCTGCGTGGTATATCCATATTTGTGTTGATGATTGGTGCTTAATCTCCATTATATATATATATCATGCATATCTCATTCATATCCACCATTTTTCATGGTGAAATCCCCAAAGTTCTTGGTGAAAAAATGCCCACAGCATCTCGCCATTTTCTGGTGAACGATCACCGCCCAGGAACTCCAGCTTTCTCGCTGACCCGATTCGCTGCAGCTGTTGCCCAAGCAAATAGCGCATTCCTCGGTAGCTGTGTCAGATTGAAACTGGAGCCATGATATGTCATTGAGTTGAATATATGTGATGTGTATATATATATATGTAATTATATATATATATGTAATTATGTATATATATATAATAATATATTTTTGTGTCACATATGTTTCACATGTTCAGCACATGCATAAGCATGTTTCTTATTCAGAATTTAAAGAATGTCATCTCATTTCAACCTCTGCTGATGGTATCTTCTGTTTACTACCCACCTGAATCGAAATTTGAGAAAATCGAGGCGCTGTACCGTCGGGCACGTCCACGTCTCCGCTGCTTTGGATGGATTCGATGACCTGAGAGAGCCCGGGTCTCGTTGAGCTAAATCTTAACATAGGATATATATAGATATAGATGGCTTTTCTTTGACATTTCGGATTATCCAAATAGAGGGACCATATTTTCAAAGCAACGTTCGTGAATTCCAGCCGCGTCAGCTGGAAATCCAGAGAGCCAATGGGACTGCCGTGGATGATACACCATGGATGGTTGCGAAATCACCAGTTGGTTACTATTGATTACTATGAAACACCATGAATAATGGGATAAATAAATGGGATAAACTATCTAATCATTGATTTTCAATGCATTTTTCTTCCATTTTTTCTGGGTCCTTCACCCATTTTTGTGGACGAAATCTGCACAGTAAGCATGATGCCAGGAGCTGAGAGCACATGTTCAGCCTCCATGTGATGTCCCTGACGCTGGTTGAGTAGCTTTTTACGCACAGGACATTCCGGCAATCCTGACTTTAGTACCTATTTGGCACGGATCTAACGCACGGATCTAACATATACTGATGTGTCTGCTGATGCTTCAAATATCTTCCACCATACTCAGTTTCAATGATATACAAGTCTTTTGTCAACCCATTCTATCCTAAAGTTAAAATCCATAAGCATGGCTAACTTGCAAACCCTGCAAGAAACTTAATTTTTAGCTTAGCGGTCAGTATACATATACAGACGATTGCAGATCTGTGCATACGTATTGATACATATCGATACATATCTACACTCCTCAATTTCTAGCAAAACAACAGCCCCACGTACTCTTCAGTCCGTCTAGTAAAATCCTCATTGACTAGGTACTACTAATAAAATCGATTACAATTTGGTATACCCTCTGGTAATTTAACATAGCTATTGAAAATCACCATTTTAATGGGAAAATCCACTATAAATGGCCATTGTCAATAGCTACGTTAAATTACCAGAGGGTATAAAATCCTCCGTTGAGTGGTCAATTCCCCAATTTTTTCCAATTTTTGCTTCGGCGCGCCTCAGTCATGGCGCTCCCGGAGACACCCCAGCGATCTTCGATGTCGCGCAGAGTTGGGAAGATGCTGCTACTGGTGACGCCCAAGATGATGGTCAACTGGGGGCGATGGGAAAACGTGGGAAAATGGGGGGGCTGGGAGGTTTGGGGCTGGGACATCTGTGTATTATGTTATGCATATGTATAATGTATCATGTATCATGTATAATGTACAATGTCTAATGTGTAATGTATATGTATACATATACATATACATATACACATATACATATACATATACATATACATATACATATACATATGTATGTATCTACGTATATATATATATATACACATGTATAATATATATATATAATGTACATACACACATATATACATATATATGTATTTTATATGTACACTGTATACATACATGTATACAATGGTGCTGGGATATGTATCGTCAGAATTTTGGTTGTTGGATGGAGTGGGGTGGGTGGAGTGGGAAAGTCTATCCAAAAGCGAGGGAAATTGCCGTCTTCTCTGTGTGTCTATGGTGAATTTGTTGGGTATCATGGGATGTAGCAACAGATTTGGACAGGTAGTACTAGTATGAAGTAGTATGATAAGTCGAGAATATTCGGCAACAATGCAAGTGACGTTGGAGATATAATCAGATATAACCAACAACAACATGGAGGTTTCTTGAAATAGGGGTACCCCTAAATCATCAATTCTAATAGGATTTTCCCTTATAAACCATCCATAAAATGGGTACCTCCATTTATGGAAACCCCCATATCAATCATAGGAATGTTTCTGCAAGGCCATCTGCTTCAGGTTATCACCGATCGACGCACGAAAAAAATCCGCGAATTTCCTGAGGGCCGGATCCACCGGCAAACCCATCAGCCATGAACCAACCATAGCTAGCTTGAGAACAATTAAGCTTCACTATTGATTAGATCATGAAAAAACTACTAAAATAGACAGTAAATGGCGAAATAGATACCATTGCTGATTTTTTTTGATTAACCATGATATTCGGCTTCCCTATTGATTAGATCATCATCATTATCATGACATTTTTCGATGGCCAACGGATCGAAAATCTGCCAGGTACCAGGCCATCGCCAAGGTACAGCCACTAGGCATACCAGGCCCTTGACACTGACCTCGTTGATAAATTGCCATAGGCTCGAAGCCTACCAAGCTGGGCTCCGTTTGGGCTTGATCTAGTGGTGAGAATTCATGTTATAAATGGAGGATTTGTAGAAATCTAGAAGGATTGAGATGGATGGCATATCATGTGGAGTTTTTTTTGTGATTTAACTGGCCATGGGGATGCAACCAAGAAATTCTAGCAAATGATCACTACAATTCGGTGTGTATCGCAATTTGGAATTTCATCGAAATTCTGATATCCGTTTCTGAGGTTTCTCCGTCTAATCTACTTGAGATGAAACCTTGAAAATCATTTTTCGAAACACGATGCAGTGGTAAATCCTCAAAATTGATGGGCCAACCACCAAAGAGTTTACCCAAGAAGCTCCAGGGCAATCGATGAATTTCATCACCCTGATCCTGCGCGCAAGTGCCTCAGTTAGATATACCATCTATAGATACATTTTCCTTCAAACATGATATGTCATCTATAGTCTATTGCAGATGAAAGCTTATCTGTTTACTCTCATCATCTCTCATCAAACAGGACAAAAATACCACTGATTTTGGCACGCCAAACCATCTGCTGAGGAGAATTCAAGGCTTCCCATCCACGGTTTCAGGGCAGTTTCACATGGCAAAGATTGCGCCGGGCAGACGATGGTACCCGATGGCAGGATATCATATTCCCTCGTTTTCTCCAATTCACATGAAAGAAATCATGGAAAATATATCATGAACTGCAAAGCCAAAAAGGTTGACCCTAACTACTTCTAACATAGCTATTGAACATGGCCATCTATAGTTGATTTACCCATTAATAGCATGGTGATTTTCCAGTTCGTTATGTTAAATAATTACCAGAGGGTATGTGAAACGATGTGAAGCCCGATACATATTTTTCCATGGGATCGTGCCAGTGCCCCAGTGCCCCATGCCTCTTCTTCACAACTCGCCGGGGTCATCGCACCTGAGAAAATGTGGGTCAGGATCGTCGGTGGCGAACCAAATATCATTGGCTCATGGAGGTGAAATTCCACATGCCCCATATAACTGTTGGTAAACAAACTCATACGTAGATGTTTGGAATAACTTAGGAGAACTCTACGTGTCTGCCCAAATTGCAGTGGATTCGGTTCATTTATGTTCATTTCAAGCTTCCGCAAAAGCAATGCATCCCTTTCCATCTTTATTTTGGAGAGTGACTCCACTTCCGGATTTTTTGAACCTGAGCAACAAACTCGTCCAACCCAACTTGACCCTGCGCCCAGGTCACACTCAAAAGTGATCATCGAACCAAACGGGCCCTTCCATAGCTCTTAACTTCCGTCAGCAGCATTACATTATCATTTAGCGCAATAAAATCCAAAACAAAACCCCAAAAAACCCAACACATGCCCCAAAAATGCGAAAACATTTGGCCCTCCATTTCATTTTCCCGTTCCCGTTCAGAAACCACCATATTTTCCGGTTCCAGGCACGCACCAGGATCCCTGTCGCCATAGCGATGACGCCCAAGGGCAAGGCTAAGACTAAGGAGGTGGTCAAGGGGAGCAAGGTGGAGGCCTTGCCATCATGGCCATGGCTGCCATCCCCCAGGTGGTTGGCATGGCATGGGTGGCATGGTTGGTGAATGGTTGGTGAATGGTTGGTGGATGGTTGGTGAATGGTTGGTGAATGGTTGTGATTAATAGCTGTTTTTTATGGCTAAAAAAAATGCAGAATCCTAAGGCAGTTGGGGAAACCCCCAGGTCATGGAGATCTATGATTTCCGTTCAAACTCATGACTGAGATTTTTCATATCCATCTGGATGGGCATTTTAAGCACACCAAAATCCCGTGGGAAATCTCAGAATTTTCCACTGTTTACCCTAGAAAACACCGTTAGCCCATTTTTGGACAGACCCAAATTGCATGGTTTGTATATATATATACACACATTTATCCCATCAAATTCCGATTACATCCCTATTAATATCCATTATTGAAGGTATCCACCATGTTTGCAAAGTAGCGTGCTGCCGAGACGCCAAGTAGGCACTGAGCCAATACTTCAGGGTCTTGCATTGTGCAGGAACATCCAAACCTGCGCCCGGCAGGTGAAAAAAAGTTGGGTGTGAGTCAAAACCCATGGAATTTGTTGGTTTTCATCTCAAATTTGCTGGTAGTTGTGGATGTTCATCCCCCAAATATGGTATGATAGGCCTTGACTTACTCTCAAGTGAGTTCATGGCTGGGAAACCAATGCAAGCAAACTTTGTTGTTCAAACATCAGCAGAGGTGGAAACAGAGAAATCCAACAACAAATGAAACAGATATGCCGAAGAGGATTTTATTGGGGAATGTGTGGGAACTATTTTCCATTTATGATTGGTGCTTTTGATTCATACCCCTGCCGCTCAAAGTGTACATCGTCATGCCTCCTCCATAAACATTCCAGCCATCCTCAGGCAGGTTGGGTCACCGGGTGGTTTCACTGTTTCACCTGCATCCAACATGGAAAAGTACTTTCCAGATTCACATCAAGACACCAGAAAATCATCGATCTGGAGTCTGAAAACAGGATATCCCCCCAATTCGGATTATAACATCTGTTTTCATATTCTTTTGTGGCTATTTGTGTGCACACCCAAGTTGGACTGTTATCCATACCCATCCCCATGATATCTTTTCAGATGTCACCTTATAACAAAACTCTCCCAGCTTGATGCTCATTTTGAATGGTGAAAACGGGTGAAAACCAGCTGCCAAGGATCTACTGCACACCAAGCTTGTGTGATGAGAGATAGTAGCAGTGAGGCCAAACAAAGCATCACTGGACACCGAAGTCGCCGTATCTGTTGAGGGCTGCAACAACTCCAACAGGCAGAAAAATGTATAGGCAAGCATAGGTATACATATATATATATATCTACATAGATATGTAGTATATATATATACATACATAAACATCCCGCCGGGGGGAAAACCGCGCTAGCGGTTGTTCATTTTTTGCAATTCTATGTGGCTGGCGCTGTGGCCCCGTAGCAATTTTATGATCAGATAACTGTTCAAAAATCCCGGTGATTTTCAAAGTGCATTTTAATGATGTATTGGTTTTTACAGGGGAAAATGTGTTCAGAGCGCGACGTTTTTTATCATTCATCAGCTCCGCAGTCTTTTGCTCAAGGCGTGGCCTGTGACAGACATCAAGTCATTTTTGTCATTGTTTTGCCATCGCCACTGCAAAACTCTTACTCCTTGCAGCAGATTTGGGTGACTGAGCCATTGATGCGTGTGTTCAAACTGTTATGGATATGAAAGAGTTCAAAGCGTAGCAACAAGAAAGTCTGACATGTAATATGAAAGAGTTCAAAGCGTAGCAACAAGAAAGTCTGAGATGTAATATGAAAGAGTTCAAAGCGTAGCAACAAGAAAGTCTGATATGTAATATGAAAGAGTTCAAAGCGTAGCAACCAGAAAGTCTGATATGTAATATGAAAGAGTTCAAAGCGTAGCAACCAGAAAGTCTGATATGTAATATGAAAGAGTTCAAAGCGTAGCAACAAGAAAGTCTGATATGTAATATGAAAGAGTTCAAAGCGTAGCAAGCAGAAAGTCTGATATGTAATTTGAAAGAGTTCAAAGCGTAGCAACAAGAAAGTCTGATATGTAATTTGAAAGAGTTCAAAGCGTAGCAACAAGAAAGTCTGATATGTAATATGAAAGAGTTCAAAGCGTAGCAACAAGAAAGTCTGATGTGTGATATGAAAGAGTTCAAAGCGTAGCAGCAAGAAAGTCTGGGATGTTTTAGCCAAGAAACGTGCAGTAGCGTAGCATCGCGTAAGTGTGCAAGTCCAATGAACGTTCACATCCCCCCCCCACCCCCCCACCCGAAACCCCAATTACAAACGCAAGGATCAAGAAGGTGTCAACATTGACGTTATTACACCCACCCACCCCCCCACCCCAGTCAACGTAGCATCACGTAGTTGTGTAAATTGAAGAGAACGTGCAGTAGCGTAGCATCGCGTAAGTGTGTAAATTGAAGAGAACGTGCAGTAGCGTAGCATCACGTCGTTGTGTAAATTGAAGAGAACGTGCAGTAGCGTAGCATCACGTAAGTGTGCAAGTCCAATGAACGTTAACATCCCCCCCCACCCCCCCACCCCCCCACCCGAAACCCCAGAGAAACATACAACAATTAAAAAACTCTGCACGACTACACGCGCGGTTTTCCCCCCGCTGGCATAAACATGCTAGGTAAAATAGTATGTCTATGTATATATATATATTGTAGAGAACAGTAGGATGTCGGAACACAGGTGCCCCGGTGCCCCGAATCTGCTGAACATTTCATCCAAATATTGGCTTCACAATGTGCAGCATTTCACCATCCAAATTGCGTAACATCTTTTTGCCCAATGGGGTGTACTGGGTGTATCCTCACCACTGATGGGAGCGGAGGCTGGTTGGTGGTTGAACCCTACCCCTTCTGAAAAATCATGGATTTTTAACGTCAGTTGGGATGATGAAATTCCCAATATGATGGGAAAGTCATAGAATTCCATGGTTCCAAACCACCAAGCAGTTGTATACCGAAAAACATATATCTACATATACGAAATAGCATCATTACATCCCAATTTTTCTTGATCATCCTCTGGTCATCGAACATCATGGAAAATCGCTTTGGTACATCATTGAAGTAAATGGATGTAAATGGGTCATCACCATAGCCATGTTAGTTTATAGTTGATTTATCCATTAAAAAAGGTGATTTTCCAGTTCGCAAAGTGTCAGTTCAGTGGGCAATTCCCCATTTCGACACCTGATTCACCAACTCATTGGGTGGCGGCCCCTCTGAGAAGTCATGGCTGTGTGGCAGCGCCAACAAACGCAGGGCGCTGATCTGCGGCAGTGGGTGAGGCATCGAACAGAAAAGGGGGATACCCACGTATGTATGTATATCAATATATATATATATATGTATATATATATAAATAAATATATATATATATATTGTACACACACATATATATATATATATTATTAAACACAGTATGTGTATATTTTTTGATGATTATGTATATGATATATCGATACTATATGCATTCGAGTTCGTCTGGACCAAAAGTTTTGACCCAGACACGTGTCATGATGTCATAATCAGAATACTGATCAATCTATGGTTGGATACGGTGGTTTGTTTGTTGGTTCGTTGGTTCGTTCATGGGTATAGAACCACTAGAAAATCAACTAATGTGATATGGTGAGCATGGTTGGTATATAGCCAACTATATTTATGGTAAAGGGGCAGAATAAACTAATTGGTATCGGACACATATAGCCAGTAGGGTATGAGGCTTGTCTCCAGGGAATCGCAGTTCACCAGGAAAACCAACTCACCAGGGATCCTACCCTCTGGTAATTTAACGTAGCTATTGAAAATGGCCATAGAAATAGTGGATTTACCCATTAATAGCATGGTGATTTTCCATAGCAAAATGTTAGTTTACCAGAGGGTATATCCTAAACTTCAATATCTTCAATATGGTCATTACATGGTCATGACGCCGATCGAAAATCCACCACTTCCAGATGTTTTCCCATGCTTCGCCTATTTCCCCCCGCCAGAGTCCATCACCTCTGGACCATCATGGATGAAACGTGCAAAGTTGGAACGCTCCAGGCCTGAGATCATCAATGGAATCCCATCTTTTTTTGGGGGAAAACCTGTCCATGTTGGGGTCATTTAAAAGGCGAAGCTCGTTTCTCCACCCACTTCCTCGTAAAGTGCGTCTTTGACTCCCAAAGAAACAAAACGAGTTTTGTTTTTTTTCCAGCAGAATTATGGTTATTTAGGCACTAAGTGGGATATACAACCAACAGGGGGATTTCTCGGCCGTAGAGGGAGCATGTTATATAATCAGATATCATCAGCAATAATGGGATAATAGGAATCTAAGCAACCAAGAATGAATTACTAGTAGAGGAATATCACCACATTCCTTCATTTCTGGCTTGAAAACTATCTTCTGAACCTACCAAGCCAGGTTTACCTATTGCAAAGATGTCATTTGATAGGGGCCTTCTCATCTAGGTTTATGGACGACAAAGTTTAACATAGCTCATAAGTCATATATGACTCATTTTGTCTCAAATGATATGAGACTGATCAAACTTATACCTCCCACAATTGGACAGCCAATGCTCTGATCTTGGATATGAAATTCATCCATTTTAGGCGACCAAAGTGACCTATCAAGCTAGCATTCACATGTTGGTTATCTCATTCTTCATTAGTTGTATTTCCGTTTTTGTTGATGAAACTCCAATTTTTGGGTGACTGAACAATCACAATTTCGGCCGCTTTTTTCACTCACACCGTTTACTTGAATACTCAATATCTTGGCGATGTCCCAATATTTTGCTGCTTAATATCCCAAATCTATTTCGTAGGGTATTTGCTGTGGCCCAGATATGTACCAAGCCAAGGTTTACCGCTGGGATTGACCCTGGAGCCACTGATTTTTTTTTCATCATTTCCCGATGAAATGGCAATTTTTGGGCCATTTTCAGACCCAAATTGGATAGTTGGTTATATCTCCCACCATATCCCAAGTCATATCCCAAGTCATATCCCAATAAATCACCATTACAATCCCAGTAAATGTCTCTGGTGAACTCCGAGAAAAAAATCACATGTCACCATGAATATCTCAGTAGATCACCTAGATCACCTAGATCACCTAGATCACCTAGATCACCTAGATCACCATGAACATGATCTAAAACCACCATTAATGTTCTATATTGTTCTATTAAATCCTCATTTTCCATGGCGAACATCCAGTTTTTTAGACTCGAACGCCCCCAGGCTGTCGCCTAGCAAGCTGTCGTTGTCGCTCATTGCCATGGCGCCCGGACAAAGCCGCAGTTCTAGAACTCGGTTTTTACGGGGCAGAAGCCGGAAACGAATCGAGAAAGATGCATCAAATGACATGTTTCATCCTGGAGTTGGGAAAACCCATGCTTGGAAATGTTTGGAATTTCGATGATTTTTGGCTTTCCTGAAGTAGAAATTCATATAGTTGTGGCCAATTCCCAACTACGATATTGTTTTTCAGCTGGAAATCGACATCCCAATGAGTTTAGTGGGTCCAATCTATCTGGAACATGTTGTAGCTAAGTGGCTGCAATGGGCCAGCGGATAGCTTGCAGCAACACCTAAAAAGATAAAACAGGTAAAATCAAGCTAAAACAGCGGAGTGGTAATTTAAATACGTTATTCTCTTGAACATATTTTGCAGCAATTGTCAAAACTTGGGGTTACCCAGTGGAAAAGTTGTGGCAACTATATATAGAAGCTCGCAGGATGGTGTCGGATCCTATACACAGCAAGTCAGGTCGAAATTTGGCTGCGAAGACATCGACCTGTCATATGGATGGGTAAAGGATTACAAAGCCGGCACAGCACAAACGCTGTGCCGCTGTGCATCCAATTATTTGCATGTGTATATTTATATATAGATATTCGTGTATAAATATAGATATATTCATATACTGTACATATATATATATAGATACAAAGAACATAATATATTGACCCCCCTGTCAATTAAGGGGTGGGGCTGTGCAACCATTTTGTAGTGAAGAAACGGCTTGCATAGCCTCAAGCTCTACTAAATGGATGCGCATGCATGATCGAATTTCACTACTAAATGTGGGCCCCTGGTTCAGCTGAAGCGCAAAATTTGGATATATTTTCAGAGTGTCTTAAGACACCAACATGACTCGACCAAACACCCTGTTCCATTTAGTAGAGGTACTCATTTGAGCACAAGTTGCGGGACCAACATCACTCGACCAAAACCCCAAAGCCATTTAGTAGAGAAATACACGGGGTCCATTTAGTAGAGAAAACAACATGAAACACATATGACTGATCCCATGACCATCCATTTAGATTTGGCATCGCCCCCAAAAAAGGCAACAAAAGAACCCAAGCACGAAAGGCAGCACCTGACGAGCAAGAAACACCCAAGCGAGGGATTTGGCATCGCCCCCCAAAAAAGGCAAAAAAAAAAACAAACATGAAAGGCAGCACCCGACGAGCAAGAAACACCCAAGCGAGGGATTTGGCATCGCCCCCAAAAAAGGCAAGGCAGCACTTGGCTAGACAGGGGAAATCTTGACTATTTTGGGACTACAAAATGGTGTTCCATAGCACGTAAGGGATAATAGGGCACACAAGGATGCAACAGGGCTTTGTTTCAAACAATTCTATATAGACTGATCCCATGACCATCCATTTAGTAAGCACCCGACGAGCAAGAAACACCCAAGCGAGGGATTTGGCATCGCCCCCAAAAAAGGCCAAAAAAGAACCCAAGCACGAAAGGCAGCACCCGACGAGCAAGAAACACCCAAGCGAGGATTTGGCATCGCCCCCCAAAAAAGGCAAGGCAGCACTTGGCTAGACAGGGGAAATCTTGACAGATTTTGGACATTTTGGGACTACAAAATGGTGTTCCATAGCACGTAAGGGATAATAGGGCACACAAGGATGCAACAGGGCTTTGTTTGAAACAGTTCTAGATAGACTGATCCCATGACCATCCATTTAGTAAGCACCCGACGAGCAAGAAACACCCAAGCGAGGGATTTGGCCGCCCCCAAAAAAGGCAAAAAAAGAACCCAAACACGAAAGGCAGCACCCGACGAGCAAGAAACACCCAAGCGAGGGATTTGGCATCGCCCCCAAAAAAGGCAACAAAAGAACCCAAGCACGAAAGGCAGCACCCGACGAGCAAGAAACACCCAAGCGAGGGATTTGGCATCGCCCCCCAAAAAAGGCAAAAAAACAAACAAACACGAAAGGCAGCACCCGACGAGCAAGAAACACCCAAGCGAGGGATTTGGCATCGCCCCCAAAAAAGGCAAGGCAGCACTTGGCTAGACAGGGGAAATCTTGACAGATTTTGGACATTTTGGGACTACAAAATGGTGTTCCATAGCACGTAAGGGATAATAAGGCACACAAGGATGCAACACGGCTTTGATTCAAACAATTCTAGATAGACTGATCCCATGACCATCCATTTAGTAAGCACCCGACGAGCAAGAAACACCCAAGCGAGGGATTTGGCATCGCCCCCAAAAAAGGCCAAAAAAGAACCCAAGCACGAAAGGCAGCACCCGACGAGCAAGAAACACCCAAGCGAGGGATTTGGCATCGCCCCCAAAAAAGGCAACAAAAGAACCCAAGCACGAAAGGCAGCACCCGGCGAGCAAGAAACACCCAAGCGAGGGATTTGGCATCGCCCCCAAAAAAGGCAAAAATAAAAAGCAAACACGAAAGGCAGCACCCGACGAGCAAGAAACACCCAAGCGAGGGATTTGGCATCGCCCCCAAAAAAGGCAAGGCAGCACTTGGCTAGACAGGGGAAATCTTGATAGAATTTGGGCATTTTGGGACTACAAAATGGTGTTCCATAGCGCGTAAGGGATTATAGGGCACACAAGGATGCAACAGGGCTTTGTTTGAAACAGTTCTAGATAGACTGATCCCATGACCATCCATTTAGTAGAGGCAGCACTTGGCTAGACTGGAGGCGGCATGGCAGGATACCGCAAGGATGCTATCTTTGTCCAACTTCTGTTGTTTCATTTTGCGGTATACCCGATCATGTTGATTTACTTCAACCCAGGAATATCTTTGATATTCATTGGCATTCTAGAATTTATATTTATTTTTCAAGCTTCTTATTTTTTTGAGCATCTATTATCATATACTATCTGGATTTACGTGATTCATCCTGATGGACATGGATTGGCCAAACGGCTATCGGGGGCAACGGAATGGGAATCTCTACTAAATGGTTTTTCAGTTTTGTCTCATTTCATTGTGACCGTTTTATGAACTCTACTTCGCAACCTCTACAAAATGGTTCCTGTGATTTTGCAACATTTTGTTGACATCTCTACTAAATGGTTTTACCCAAAAAACAACATTTGACATCATATGATTAACATATCATTTTTACCTCTCTACTAAATGTGGATCATGGGTCTAGAGATGTTTACTTGATTTTTTTTTGAAAAATCATGATTCTCTACTAAATGGTTTCTAGAAATTTCACACTAAATTTTTGGTTCACTTTCCGGGACCTAGGTCATAGCATTTAGTAGTGGAAATTGGCAGGAGGATATATATTGTATGTATATATGTACTACTGTATTAGATATCACGTATTATCACGAAACGTGCCAGGTTTTCTACCGCCGTATGTTGGATGACCAATCGACAGGGCAGCCAAAGTGTCAAACTGGGAACCAGATTTCTTGATTCGTTTGGCCGCCATTTAAATATCAATTGCCCTCTGGTAAAGCATAAAAAACTATGGACAATGGCCCATTTGTAGTTGATTGATCTATTAAAAGTGGTGATTTTCCAAAGGGTAACCATCAATCGACCGGTTGTCTTCACCAAATTTCACCAGTTTGTTCGTCCCAATGCCTCCCTCGAGATAAGGACAGATGGAATGTCGACGTTCGAACCTGGATTTTGGACATTCCGTGGATCAACGTGGCAAGATGGATACTAATCATGAACTATCCCATGAATATCCCCAAACATATCAACTATGGGAACAGTATCAACTGAGAAATATACAAGAAATGGGAGTATCATATCAACTGGGAACATATCAACAGTATCAACTATGGGAGTATCATACAAGAAATCAATGAAATTCTGGGATAAGTTGGATGCGACTAGTTGCTACTATGCCGTTGCTGCTTTGGTCAGCCGAGATCGCCCCAAAGCTGGCAATGGACAATCTGCTGAAATTTCAGGTTACTTTTTTGTTTGTTATTTTTGGGAATGATATATGATGAGAAATGATATACTCATTCAAGTCATCATTCATCATATATCATTTTGAGTCATCATCTTGATTGCTTGGGAATGACATCATATATCACTGGATCCTACGATATCTTTATTGGAACACCCTCAATTTTCGTTGTTTGAATCGCACACAATTTTTGTTGGCAAAATCATGACATACATTGTACACATTACATTAATCTATCATTGAGCTGGTGTCCTAAGTCATAAGGCGGCTTATCCTGTTGACTGTGTATATATATATATATCCGCAACATATCGGATCTGTGTTAGTTTCAAATCAACTTACCAAAGGACTTACCTATAGTCTATAGTATATTGTTGATTGTATTCCTATGATATCCCATCTACACCCCCATGAAAATCATGATATTGCCATAAAACCCTTAGAAAACAACAGAAACCAAGTGAAACCTCGTTTTTTGCTGGTTACCAATGTTATCATTTTCGATGGCATCTTCCATTTTTGTCGCTTCCCAGCTTCGGGACCCGACCGTAGCCGTCATCCGCCACGATGATATCCTGGATATCCCTCGTAGTACGTGTGGATCCCTGGCGGAGCTGAAAGATACCTCCAAATGGGGATGCCAAATTGGAAGTCTTGTGAAATATTTCGATATCGAGAAATATTTGGATATAATTGGGGTATCATTGGGATATCCTTGGGATATACTTGGGATTGAATTTGGAGAGTTTCCAACAGTAGGATAAGACAATAAGATTTTGTGGGATGCCTGATGAAAGCATAGGGAGTTTCCAAAAAATACCTGGGATTTCACATGGTGAAGCTTACATCAGAATGTATGTATGTAATGCAATGCAATGCAATGCATGCATGTATGTATATATATATGTATATTGTAATCCCCGAACTGATCATCATATTTCCAGAATCTCAAGAAACACGCCATTTTTTGTGATCCATGATGATCACTTTTTCCGCAATGCAAGCAGTGCCACCTGAAAAAAGCACGGCGCTTAAAGCCGCCGAGCTCAGGGCGTCGCGCCTGTGTGTCCACGATGATCACCGCATGCGCCTGAGGATGTTTCGCTGAGGATGTTTCGGCCATGCAGTTGGGACTCAATCAACACAGCTCATGAATAGAGGTACTGTATATATACATATATATATATATATGTAGATATATAATATTATAATTATATATATACACATATCGATGTATACATAATATGAGTATTTAAACTAATTTATACATCGTACATCATATGTATAGTAATCCTCCTAAGAATGGAAACAACAAATCAACTGAATCACTTTTTGCTGCTTTGGGATGGCGCCTCCTTTTTCTGTGCCACTTTCACCTGCCGATTTTGCGGGGGTAGAACCCGCCCAAATGCGAAGATTAACCAAGGGATGAAGTGTCTAAAGTGAAGAAATGAACATGAAGGTGAATATATATATATGTATATATATATGTATATATATGTATATATATATATATGTATATATATATATTATGTCTATGATCCATTATGTATATGAACATATAAGGTAAATGTCTTTTGAGAGAATGTTAAATTCCAGTTGAATCATACATTCCCTTTGCAACACCGAAGGAAAGATCAATGAGTCAAGCCTTCAAGGTCTGAATTGAAGGTTGGCAACATGGATATTCCAAAATTAACCACGAAAATCCAGTAATCTAAACCTTCATTTTACCTGATGAAAATGGCCATTCATTGTGGTCTATCCGATTTCTGGGCAAAACAACCTTGCAACCGCTTGGGAATTTTGAAACAAGCCCACCCTGAGTGATCCAATGCAATATGCCAATGGTTTTTTCGCCACCTGGAGCTTTTCCAACAACACACGATGGGTTTTTTTCCAGGAATGTTTGGGCGGCATTTTCCGGATGGCTTCACTGGCTTCGAAACGCATTTCGTCCCATCAATTGAGCGCGCCTTTGTCACAAAGGAGCACGAGCCACGTTCCACAAGGATGATGTTAATGAGGCGAACCTCGATTTGGGCGAACCCGGCGGTCTCTTAAAACTCCGCACCTGCCTGACACCTGGTAAAGAAGAGTTTACCTGTTGGTTTACCATGGTTTACCTATTGTCTTTTGCACTGCTGATTGGAAAGTACTTTGTCACAAGCTTCTGACACCCCTGCTTTCGGCAAAACATCAATACGCGGATGTTCCAGCCTGTTCCCCTTTCTGACGGCTCATTTGACAAATTTGATTTATGGTTTTCCAATTCTTTCCTTTTCAATAAGGTATTGTTACACCATCTTACATTTACAATGCCATATGTTTTGATGTGAACAACAGGCTTTTCTGGACACCTTGGCCCCACGGTCGGCCAGCCAACTGCCAACTGCCTCGTTGTAGCTCTTCCCGGCCGGCATGAATTTCTCGGGAGATGGGACGTCATAGTCTTCTTCCTGAGCCATGGCTTTCCCACTTTTCGGAAGAGGAGATTGGACCAGGAGGACCATGTGGATGTGGTTATGCTCTGCAATCTTACTTGGGCATCCAATTCTGAGTGGGAAGACATGAGAATCTCATCGAGAAATGATGGATTCCAGGATTACCAGAGGGTAAACCCAAAGAAAGGGGACAAAAACATTCTGTCAGCGCCTTGCTGCGAGAAAAAGGGGCGCTGCCACCACAAACATTCGGATTTCTTCACGATCTTCGAATATCTTCGAATGGAGTGTTACAGATTGTTACAGTGTCACCTTTCTATTCAGTTTGAACCAGTTCTGGCTTTTCCCCATGCCCCCATCACCATTTGTTCATCGTAGCCCGATGATAAATCCCACGGCAGAACCAATCCAATCCCTAGAGCTGAATTTTCTGAAGCAATCATCATCATATCCTATCGTTTATTCTAGCGAGTTCTTAGTGATCTTAACAGGGAACATGACGAACAATTGTTAACTCATCGATTTTTAATGTGTGAAACGTCACACAACATTGGTTTGTCATCATGCTCCCTATCCACGGCTGGGCAGCCGCACGGTGCAGTGGTTTTTTTGTTTCGGGGTTCCGTAGACCAAGCGTCCATAGACGCGGTCACCATAGAACCTGCGGGGGGCTCTTGCTGTCTCTGCGGTTTCTTGTGGATGCCAAAATCAGGTCAAAATCGCCGACTGTTAATAGGATTTAATAGGGCAATGATCAAAAAAATCAAATCACCAAAAATAAACATCATGGGCGTGACATGCAGAAATGAGTAGCAATGGACCAACAGAACTAGCAATTTCTAGACCCATCCAGTTTTCGATGTGAATGATTTTGAGATATCTTGAGCCACACACACACAAATATCTCAACTACTCTGCCAACATTTTTTCATTGATTTCTTGGGGAACCACCTTTTTCTGAGGGTCTACGCCCCGACACTAAGAGTGTCGGATCCCTGAATTTCACCAAGCTCCATCCAAGCTCCATCCCCGCACCATATTCCCAGAGAGGAGTTCAAAATCATATCGTTGAGACTATCAACCAATATATTTATGTACAATTCATGTACAATTTATGTACCATTTATGTACAGTTTATGTACAATTTATATAGAATTTGTGTTACCAGGTCTCCAAAAACTTCCGATATAGAAACAACCAACCACTGACGAAAAACTATTTATACAACGAACTAGACTACGAAAAGTATTTAATTGGACACACTTCATGGTATACCCTCGAGTAATATAAGCTGACTAGCTGGAAAATCGCTACACTTCAAGTGTCGTCCCTTTATGGATTTCCCGGGATTTCCCGTTCATGTTTCGTGTGTTTTTTTTCCCTGAAGATACTTGGTAGAATCCAACCAACCAATCATCAAGCCATGATTTTTCAGTTATATTCACCACCAATATCCCCATATTTTGTGTTATCACCATATTTTGGGATATAATGTTGTGATTTTGCAATAATGCCATATTATGGTTTAATATCACCATATGCCATTGGGATATAATATGGCAGTGTGTTAAAACCTTGTACCCCTGGTGAACATCAAAATAGCTGGTAAATGGATGTTCATTCCCCTAAAAATGGTATTAATAGCTATTGATCCATACCCATATATGTGTTATCACCATATTGTGATGGCAAAATCATTCATCCTTCAGCTCCCATGGATTAAACAGGTCGTTTCAGATAGAGGCGGAGTCGCGGAGCGCCGAAGGTCGAAGTGGAGCCGAAGATCCTCTGGGGATGTGGATAACATGGCTTGATGGCTATGGTCTACTGATTTAACATGGCTGATATATATCATCTTAAATGTATATATATATATGGGTCTATGATTGTATGGTCTTAATGGGTATATTACTATATACTATGGTCTTTTTCTTCTTTTTTTAGTGGATGTATAATAGTAGTAGACAAGTTTGCATTTTTTTCAATGTAATGGGATTTAAAGATTTTAAAGAACGCAAATAGACGTGAAACCAACGGTTTGTTGGATGAGCTTAGGCGGCACCATGGGATTTTCTGGGGCCATTTTTACACGGATGGTCATTAACCATGGGATGTAATTGGAATGGTCCAGGAGTGGCGTTAGAACTATATATATATACCTGCTTGATAATTGATGATGATTGGGTGGATTGATAGGTATTTTTTTGGGATTTATTCATGGTGGATTGGTGGTGCATGAATGAATGATACCGGTGATACCCTTTAGCACGCCGCATCAGCCCCTCCTGGAACGCCGGAATTGCTGAGCAGGCCAGGTCAACTTCCAGGGACATATTCCCTGCTGATTTCATCCTGTTGAAAATCATCATTCCCATCTGGTTATGACTAACAGTTCGCCATGGAAAATCCTCTCATTTTTAAGAACGGTGGGTAAACCATCTATTTCGATTAGGGCCATCGAAAAACCATGGCGAACTGTGAATGTCATAACCAGAGGCTAAACCATATTAAACCATACTAAACCACTCTACCAGCATTCTAAGTGGCATTCAACACCGGGTCAACTTCCAGGGACATATTCCCATCTGCTGATTTCATCCCCCCTGTCGAAAATAATCATTAAACCATATTGAACCATATATTAAACCATACTATTAAACCATATTAAACCATATTAAACCATACTAAACCATATATTAAACCATATTAAACCATATTAAACCATACTAAACCATACTAAACCATACTAAACCATACTAAACCATACTAAACCATACTAAACCATATAAACCATAAACCATATTAAACCTAAACCATATTAAACCATACTAAACCATACTAAACCATACTAAACCATACTAAACCATACTAAACCATACTAAACCATACTAAACCATACTAAACCATACTAAACCATACTAAACCATATTAAACCATACTAAACCATACTAAACCATACTAAACCTAAACCATACTAAACCATACTAAACCATACTAAACCATACTAAACCATACTAAACCATACTAAACCATACTAAACCATACTAAACCATACTAAACCATACTAAACCATATTAAACCATAAACCATACTAAACCATACTAAACCATACTAAACCATACTAAACCATACTAAACCATACTAAACCATACTAAACCATACTAAACCATATTAAACCATATTAAACCATACTAAACCATACTAAACCATACTAAACCATACTAAACCATACTAAACCATTAAACCTAAACCATACTAAACCATACTAAACCATACTAAACCATACTAAACCATACTAAACCATACTAAACCATACTAAACCATACTAAACCATACTAAACCATACTAAACCATATTAAACCTAAACCATACTAAACCATACTAAACCATACTAAACCATACTAAACCATACTAAACCATATTAAACCATACTAAACCATACTAAACCATACTAAACCATACTAAACCATACTAAACCATACTAAACCATACTAAACCATACTAAACCATACTAAACCATATTAAACCATACTAAACCATATTAAACCATATTAAACCATACTAAACCATACTAAACCATACTAAACCATATTAAACCATATTAAACCATACTAAACCATACTAAACCATACTAAACCATACTAAACCATACTAAACCATATTAAACCATATTAAACCATACTAAACCATACTAAACCATACTAAACCATATTAAACCATATTAAACCATACTAAACCATACTAAACCATATTAAACCATATTAAACCATACTAAACCATACTAAACCATACTAAACCATATTAAACCATATTAAACCATACTAAACCATACTAAACCATACTAAACCATACTAAACCATATTAAACCATATTAAACCATACTAAACCATACTAAACCATACTAAACCATACTAAACCATACTAAACCATATTAAACCATATTAAACCATACTAAACCATACTAAACCATACTAAACCATACTAAACCATACTAAACCATACTAAACCATACTAAACCATACTAAACCATACTAAACCATATTAAACCATACTAAACCATACTAAACCATATTAAACCATACTAAACCATACTAAACCATACTAAACCATACTAAACCATACTAAACCATACTAAACCATACTAAACCATACTAAACCATGCTAAACCATACTAAACCATACTAAACCATATTAAACCATACTAAACCATACTAAACCATACTAAACCATACTAAACCATACTAAACCATACTAAACCATACTAAACCATACTAAACCATATATTAAACCCTCCTGGAACGCCGGAATTGCTGAGCAGGCCAGGTCAACTTCCAGGGACATATTCCCTGGTTATGACTAACAGTTCGCCATGGAAAATCCTCTCATTTTTAAGAACGGTGGGTAAACCATCTATTTCGATTAGGGCCATCGAAAAACCATGGCGAACTGTGAATGTCATAACCAGAGGCTAAACCATATTAAACCATACTAAACCACTCTACCAGCATTCTAAGTGGCATTCAACACCGGGTCAACTTCCAGGGACATATTCCCATCTGCTGATTTCATCCCCCCTGTTGAAAATAATCATTAAACCATATTGAACCATATTAAACCATATTAAACCATACTAAAACATACTAAACCACTATCTGATGCCATCTGATCCCAGTCTTCCCTTCAGAACTTCAAACGCACAACTCGCTTCACGAAGCGCCTCCCGTGGCTCGTCTGAAAGTCTTGAACGACTCTGGGAGGTGCCAAGACCCGAATCTGCGCCGCGACATCTGATGATCATGGGATCATGGCTATCAAATAATAACTGATGGCTATATTAATAATGGTATAACGGTATCATTAATATAGCCATGAAAATAGGTATACACCAATATAGCCATATTTTCATAGGTATAGCCATATATACACCATCTATTTAATAGGTACCCTCTGGTAATTTAACAGTTTGCTATTGAAAATGACCATAGAAATAGTGGATTTACCTACTATAGATGGTGATTTTCCAGTTCACTATGTTAAATTACCAGAGGGTATACACCAATAATGGCTATATATAATGGTACAACGGTATCATAGTTTTGCCTTCAACGTCAATGGAACAGAAACATGGGACATATATCAAATAGTTTTATAACGGCAACATCATTGTGTAAGATTGTGTAAGTAAATAACATGGGGATAGTAGAAACACCTAAGAATACAGTGGGCATACTGGATACTGAATATTGTGATGATACCGGATAGCGGATATCATGGGAAACTGTTGCCAGACAAATAGGGTTTTTTCTGTTGCTCAAGTCATCCACTGTTTTTCACCATGGGAGGATGGGGAGGATAAACCTGTGGGGAATCATTTTATCTGGAAGATTCTTTAACCTACATGATTTAAAGGCTGTTTGCGATATGAAAACCAGGAAAAACCTGAGTTTTGACCCAAAAAAAAAGCATATCCACAATTTTGAGCCGCCCAACCTATACATACCCATCCCTTTACTGTTGGTGAGTATTCCAATGTTCGGTGGGCACGTATGTCTGATATCTGCATGTAGCGACCCCAACATAGAAAAGTTGGGCATGTGGACAATCAGCTTCTGAATATCCTGGAATATCCTGGTATTTTCGATCTTTATGACACCACCAAGTAGTATCAGTTCATCAATGGTAGCCACAATCCAGTTTTTTTCCTGGTTGGTGGTTGAGCCACCCCTCTGAAAAATGATGGAGTTCGTCAGTTGGGATGATGATTTCCCATATATGGACAAATAATCCATTCATGTTTAATATGAGTTCGTCCGTTGGGATGATTATCCCATATATTATGGTACAATAATCCATTCATGTTCCAAACCAACAACCAGAATAACATCATCAACCATTATTATCCATGATTATTATCCATGGTTAACCATCATTAACCATTAACATTAACATTGATCATTAACCAACCAGTTTCCCTTCATTGGTTGACCATCATTTTTGTCACCGGATGACCTGACGGCACTCCAACCCAGACCTGGCAGATCACCGGCTGCACTTGTAATGACCTGGCGGATCGAAATGACGATGATTTGTCATGGTGAAGGCAGTCTAGACAAATATATATATATATATGTACATGTGTATGTGTGTATATTATATATACACATATATATATATATGTATATATATATATTTATTGATTTTGATAAAAGTAAGCTAGTAATATGGGCGATATATCTATTATGTGAGTCATTAGACGTAGCAATGTAAACCATTTTCTCCATATTTTCTTCATGAGAACGTTTCTTGAATGGCTGATAAGTAAGCCTTACTGACAAAGATATGTGAGCATATTTGCCAAGAAAATGGAGATACAACCACAAAGAACCGAGATGATAAGGAACAAATCATCTGAAGATAGTAGTATTCACCACGATGGTTGTAAGGGTGATGGACTTTAATATCAAAACCTTGGGATACAAACCGATCAGACGGAGACATGACCAACTGCCAGCTGGGTTAACCAATTTGTGGCAGTCTCGTTTCATACCACTTGTGGCAGGACGGTGGAAACACCCAGTGGTATGATGTGGTATGACACGGTATGACCATGCAGTGGATCTGACTGGTTCAAACTGGGGAAATGATTGGCTGTTTGGGTTGAACCTCGATGATACCATATGAAGAGTTTCACAGGAACAGTGTGAAACCACAGGCTTTTGATCGCTTTGTTTTGATTACATATTAATCTTCCCATCCAATGGCTAAAACATCGCCTCTTTTAATTTTCGGAAAGCCATTGACCCATGACACCAGTCCGTTGACCCAGATTTTTTTCCCCCATCACATGGTGAGCGGCACCAGAGGAAAACTCGAAGCCATGTTGATGCTGTTCTCATGGCGCCGCTCCAAAGCTCCTGGCTCATTGTTTTTTCTGATTTTCTGTATATCCCTGTTCAATTGATAGTAAACCTATGGTAAAACCCATGGTAAAGACCTTATAATTATGATAAACAACATATAAAAAACATGGTAACATGATGTAAAACCATGGTAAAACCCATGGTTTTTATGACTTCTTGGGTACTTTCCTCAGATTTTCGGCACCAAAAATTCCCAGTCCTAGCAAGCTCCAAGCGGATGGCAAGGCTCTGCTGCGAAAAATCGTGGCGATCTGAAGGGTGGTTTTTAACACACAGCTATAGCAGTTATAGCAGCTATATCAATACCAGTAGTCCAGTTTTAAGGGGATGAAGTGTAGGGATGAAGTGAAACAGGAAAGACCTTTTCATATTCAGTTCATGTTCCTCTGACCTTGGCTACCTTGGCACAGGGCGAAGCTATGAGTGATCTGCAAGTAGGGATACTCTTCGTCCTGTTCGAAAGCCTAGTGACTGATTCGCAGCAAAAGATGGTGAAGATTGGTGAAGTATTCCTGCCCTATTGACAGTTTCTGCCCAAACTTGATCCATCACAGCTTGCAACATCGGTTTTTGTGCCGGTGCAATCAGTACTAAATCATGGCCTATATCGTGGATATATGATATATCATATCAAGATATATCAAGCAAACAAATACTATCTACGGTAGTTGGCAGTCCAAATCAATGGAAATCAATGGAAATTTAGTTGGCACCTCTTTGGAAAAGTATCACCCAGCCGACTGCAAAAAATCACCAAGAATCAGCAGCGACATCGCCAGTTTCTTGAAACGAGTCGCAGTCGCAATCGATTAAAAACATCTTGGGTTATTAATGGTTATGGGTTGATGTTTGGATGTAGTCTCCACTAACTCAGCCCACCACGATCAACAGTAAATTTTGCTGTAGTCTCTGTTTCCTCCAAAATTCCATAGTAATAGCGATGAAACCTCCGAACGCGCCATGAGATTTTTTCCGGTTAGCACCAATGCTGGAAGCCGTTGTTCACGGCAAAGATCACCTGGCTGGTTGTTTTTCAATGGGATTCAATGGGAATATCTGCGAGATCTGATGAAAAAAAACCGGTTGAAGATCTCATTCGCTGTCTGTAAACCACAAAGATACCACACAGAAACTTGGTCAGCTTGGTTGGTTACTTTTCCTCAACTTAGTCATCATGTTTTTCGAGGAAGATCAGGGATCCAAAGGGGATCATTGGACGGGAATCCAGCCAGGTTTGATTCACACCACGATATCACCACTGGTTGCTGGTGCAATAACCCCTCTGAAAAATATTAGTCAATGGGAAGGATTATCCTTATCCCATATATGAAATGGACAAAAACAATGTTTGAAACCACCAGAACATATCTAGCATGATTTTGATGAAGCTTACAGCTGCCTATGCCCTCCGATATGAAATCTCGAGCGCCGTGATTCGCTTCAAAGAAACCGTGGATCTGTTCCAAAAAGACCAAATCATCCAAATCAAGAATATCCACACCTTCAATCATGGTCAATCTTTGGTCAACAAACTTCCTACATACGGCTTTTTTTTTTGCTCGTTTTTGGGGATATTTTCCATTGGGGATGCAATCCTCAGAATGTAACTCCCAGGTTCACGGCACCTTGCCACCGATGCCCATTTCGATACAATCTCGATGTGAAACCACCTGAGTGCAGAATGGGCAACCAACTGAGCAACGTCTTCCCCTGCTTTACATGGCTTGTGAATTTCAACACAATCTTCATAGTAGTCCTTATTAAGCCAGGAATCATCACCCCCTTCCCATGGATTATCCAAGTAGTACAGCAAACATCTTTCGACTGAGTGCAACACCCCCACTGGGGTCTGCATGATCCAAAGGCCCGTATTGTGCCTGCGAGACAGCCGCCACATTCTTTCCATGGCTGCCATTGCTACAGAATGATACAGAAATTACTGGGACAATAGTGGGAAAAGTTCATACCGAAGAAGTTCGCAGATCCGAGTCTCACATCTGAAGAACCAATTACTGCGAAAACGAAAAACAGTTGCGAGCCACTCAAATCTCGACAAAGCTTCCCACCAACTGCCCTCTGGTAAATCTGAAGGCCAGGCTGCACCCAAAAATGGAGCTCCAACTTTCCAAAATGAAGGTCACATTTCATGTCCAGTGGCAAGTTCCAGACGGATATAGATATAAGCGATATAACTGATATAACATGATCACATGACATGGCATGACATGGCATAGATGGATCGTTATTCGCTTTAGGTGACAAAAAACCCCGAGTTCCTCCCCAAAAATCGACCCCAAATCTGGGAGACAGCACCGGGTACGAAATTTCAACTCATGCGGCAGCAGCCAGATGTCGCGACCTCAGTATGGGCATCGTTTAACCGGTCATGGGGTTATTTAGTACCTTATTTGGCCCATAGATTACAATATAATTGGCTTATTTAATCTGTGACAATTGTTGCGTTATTTTGCCATTATCATTTTAATGGGGTACTTGTTATCATTATCTTGTTGTCAATAGGGCAATAATGTAAAAAGAGTCTGGGTCTTTGTGGGAGTGCGCTCTTTGGCAAGCTTTATGTATTCAATTGTTGAATAATGTAGGACATGAGTCACTTCAAACATCGGTTTATGTCTGTCTTAGTTTCGAGGTTTAGCAGTTGTAGAGCTATATATAGGTATGTATTGTGGAAGAACTTTTGGCTTCAAGTCTTGTGTGTATATGGTACATATCCAAGTTTGCACATCAGGCAAACATGAACTACAAGGACATGAAAGCAAACCTGTCAATCAGCTGGGAAAATTCAGTTTGGTAGAAATATGTAGCAATACAGCTGTTTTTGTTATGAACTATTGTATTGTGCCAATAAATACCAAAGAGAAAATTTAATTTAATTTTGACCGGTTGCGCCGCGCTCAAACGATAGGGTGGTGTTTGCTTCTATGCTACATGTCTTTTTAGCAAGCATGAACAAGAGGAAACAGCACTTTTGATTGACAGGAGATTTCATTTTGTCCCCAAGCAGTGCTGCATCTTCCTGACAGAGCAGACTCTGCATCATAAAGAGATATGGAACGTTTTGTAAGGATAAGCATGTTGACCTCATGAAATATGAAGCACCAAAAAATCACGTGGAAATACATAGCATCATCTTAAAAACATGGAAAATTCACTGTATGATACTATATTTAAATATGTTAGTTATTGTACATGTATACACCGTATTCCTTTCAAACGTGTGTGGCATTCCTTTGAGAAAGTAGCCTTCAAGACACACAGCAGTCCTTGTGAAAGAGTACGGCATGGTTTAAGTTCTTGTAATATGTATATAGCAATCCCTTTGAAAGAGGGTGATGTTTCTGTAAGAACGTGCAGTATGACTCCATGAAATCGTCCTTTGAACAAGCATAATATTCCTTGCAGAAAGTGGAGCGTGATTTTGAAAGGGTATTCTTCAATAAGCAGTTACACTTTAAGAGACCATGGCATTTCTTGAGGACAATGCGGCATGCCTTTATGCAAGTTTCCTTGGAAAACATGCAATATAATTTTTATTCCTTTGAACAGAGGGTGGCACTCCTTGCTTAGAGAAAACATACCCAAGCTCCAGAAAACAAAAAATAATGCCTCCTCCCTTTAGAAAACAACACATCAAGCTTCCCAGAAAACCCAAAAACACACACCTCGAGAAAACTCAAAAACACCCCCCCGGGTTTCGCCACCTCCAAAGAGCCTGGACATCTTTTTTGTTTTCTTTTTCCAAGGTTTTGTCAATTCTTGGGGGTTTCATTTTAATCAATTTGATTGGGATATATTGAAGTTCACTTGATTCTTCAAACATTCTAATACTCTGGTCAAATTCTTGTGTAAAAGTGCCCTTGGGAGTGCAGTGAAACCTCTCAAAATATCATCTTAAATCATGTGCTGCACTCCGCTATTTAACATGGCTATGGAAAATTGCCCATTTGTAGATTAGGTACCTATTAAACATAGTGATTTTCCATAGTTATCTTAAATTACCGGAGGGTATTTGGCATTTTCATTATTTTCCTTGTCACCCAATGTCGGAAATATAGGAGTTGATCTTTGCTGGCACATGATGAGTGGGATGTGAATCTTCCAAGCAGGTGTATATGACCAACCCTAGTGGTGTTTTGGAATGAGGGCTTCACCACCATGGTATAATGATAGACGGATAACCAGCAAGATTGGACGTATGATGCACAATGATGCTTAGTCATGTGGTGTTTACCCAAGCATACATTTGATTTTCTGGGAATTCTTGCTCACTATCTGTTGGTAAAATGAGGCAAAGTGGGTGAAATGGGTTTTGTCCAAAAATGGCAGACGCCCCTCCCGTTGTGGCCATTTCGTGCTGGGGCACATGACAATTAACCCACCGATTTTGGGGTATCCCATCTTCAAACCTTGGCTACTGGGGATGTAACCATGAATGATGATGGCAATTTTCTGATACCTTCGTCCAAAGTGTCAGATAGTACATTCAAATCAAACACCATTTCCCAGTCTCTGGTGGATTTGTCCAACAATTCTAGGAAAACTTATCCTCTGGTACTGACTGGGCAATGGAAAATCATCCATTCAGATATATTCAGATGTGTAGATGATCTCTATTCTCCCATTAAAAATTGCGATATGGCAGTGTGTCAAAACCTTGTACCCCTGTAGTTCACATCAAAATAGCTGGTAAATGGATGTTCATCCCCCTAAAAATGGTATTTTAATAGGTATTGATCCATAGCCATATATGTGTTATCCCCATATTGTGATGGCTAAATACCCATATTGCCATGTCAAATGATCAGATCACCACGGATAACCCATACGCCGCGCTTCCGTGGATGGCGCTCCGTGGCTCCCTACTGGGTTTTGACACCACTCGGACGTTGCGAATCACAGGTGCGCCCTCTGCGGTAACCATGGCCCATTGAGGTTTAGTCGTTTACAACATTAAG